GTGGAATCCAGATTGAATCATTGTTGTTCAGAGAGTAGAGTAAACACATTTTTATGGTTGCGAAAAATCTATAGGAATCTATAGGAATTATTTTATCCTGCTAAAATGAAAAATGTGGCCTACACTGTTTAAACACAGCGATTCCTTTTGAATAAGATTACAAACTGCAGTCAGACGGCTATTTTAATATTATACAACACATTTTTAATTGAAAAATCACGTTTTTTTAGTCCTCAAGAAATAAGTTTGAATTTTACAATGGAAATATTTCAATATAATTTCTGAATTTATGAGGACTGAAACAATTGTAGGATACTTTTATCTTTAATATTCAAAGAGCACCAGCGTTGCAACTTAATCTCTCTTGATGTAACACATTTTTCCCCCTGAAACATCAGGACCTGAGAGGTGGATGTTTTTTAAATAGCAGCAGTGATTGATTTCTCTTTAGGAGGCCATGTTGTCTCAAGTGGACTGATGAATGCTCATTAGACTGGGCACATTCAACACACTGTAATGAACTTATCTATCAGTCACAAGAGAGGATCAAACCTACAGCAGCTCTTCACCATCTAAAGAGCTAAACTTTATACTAAAACAATATAAAGGGACTCTGATATAAATATAAATCCTAACAAGAAGTAATTTAATTGGACATATATAGAAGCTTTAAATCTGCAAAAAAAAAAAAAAAAAAAGGATATTGTTTGGATAGTAGTCTTTTCTTACATAATGTGTCATTTTCTTTAGAACAATTTTCTAAAGAGATTTGATATTTACTCTAAAATACTGACACCTGTAGAGAATTATTCTTAAAAATGAGGTCTGGTTCCCAGTGGGAGAAGATTTCATGAATTTGATACGATTGTTGAAGAGGCAGCGTATGACTTTCAAAAAATCCTATAGCTACATTTACACTAACAGACTTCATCTGCAAGACTATAAGTGACTAGAGCAAATAAATGTGACAGCTTTCTCAGTCAGATCAAATATGGAAACTTACATAGCAATGCAAAATTACAGAGCAGCACTATTAAAATAATCTCTAACTAAAATAATGTCTGGCCACATAGCTATCCGGTTACAGGAAAGGGAAAACAGGCCTAGATGTTTTATGCAAACTTTCATATGCATGGTTCTGGTTTCTCTGAACTGTTTCCAGAAAAGGGTTCATGTTGGAATAATTTCACCTCACCTCAGATGAGAGAAAGTGATTCCTTTTTCCAAAATAGACTCATGCCTCAAGCCATGTTGAACTGCAACAGCACCTGTTGAGGTATGATGATAGGGAGAGATATTTCAAATATTTTATTAGTATTAATGTTTTATTAATTTAACCAGCCCCCTTTCTTAATCAGTATTTGGCCAATATATGGTGGGTTTGGGTGGCAGTGTTATTAAAAATAATCTTGAATACAGCAGGAAACACATTATTATCTTACATTTTGTTTCCCTCAAGCCTCGCACGGATGCACACGTTGGAAATGATTTTTATCTCACTTTGACCTCAGAACATAAATAGACATTTCATGACCTGGGCACCCATGAGTAGTAAAGTTTATTTCACCCTCCACCTCATACATCAAGACTGTGACACTTGGATGGGGATTCAAGGAGTGATGATCGTGTGAGGGAGCAGTGGAAGTTTTATTAAGGTCCAACAGCTGACTAATATAGACGGTCAATTCCACGACATTGTGCCAGAGTGCAACAGCTATTTTGGTCCCCATGAGCTGCACGGCGGAGGTGACGATAAGGAGCCATGACACAGCTCAGACACCAACTTCATGTTGGTTATTATTATCAAGATCCTGTGAGTGGAACTATTTCATTCCAGTTTTATCCTAAAGTGAGTTTCTCTGCTGGTATGGGCAGCAAAAAATTAATTAGCAGTGAAATGATCAATTAAAAAGGCGACATCTTATAAGATTTGCTTATTCAAAAACACTTAACTACTTGTTAATTTGTAAATCCTAAATTAGTTTTAATAATCTCTCTTCAATTAAAGCATGTCTTAAGTGAACACCTCGGTCTCAAGACAGTATCTGAGTCATTCTGCCATTCTGCTACTTGAATCACAAATTGAAATATCAGAAGTTCTCTCCAGCAAAGACATTAAACCATTTCTACATTCCCACCTGGAGAGATGGAGAGAGAGAGAGCGAGAGAGAGAGAGAGAAAGAGAGGAAAGTGAGGGATCTCATTACTTGCTGGCTGTGTGAGTGCAGGCTGCTCAGCACCAACTGGAGGCCTGACTTCTTGGGAGGGTCCGGACGGTCGTGGCTACAGTGATGTATGGGCAGATGCATCAAATCGCACAAGATAAACAAGCGATGAGTTTCATCAGGGCCATCATAGCTTTAATTTGGCTGCCTAATGAGTCAGATCTAGTGGCGGAGATAAGAGTTGTCAGAGGCCCAGCTCTAATGAATTTCTTGCCACTTGTAATCAAGGTTGCCTGTCTGAGGGGGGATGATTAATGGAACCCTGGAGGATTCCCTCGGCCCTCAGCCTTCATTACAGCTAATGCATTCTCAGGCAAATTAACAGAGAAATGCAGGCAAAAGCCAACGGGGAAGGGGAGAGAGAGAGGGAAGAAGGGAAGGGGAGAAAGGGAGAGAGCGCGATGGGAACAGAGCGTTTATGTAAGACAAAGGAGAGAGAGGAGGGTGAAGAGGAAGATAGCATGGTGGGTATGAAACAGCCAGGTTGGCAGCAGGAGAGAGAAAGAGAGACGCAGGGATGAGCTGAAATCCGCTGATTAGTGAGAGGTTCAAGGATGTGGAAATCAGAACATAGACATAAGAGTTTCGGGCGGTTAGAGAGGGCAGGGTACAACATGGATGTACTGGTCAGACATGATGGAGCTGAAATTGATAAATGGATGTTCAAGTCTGGGGGGATTCAGGAGAGATGGTCGGATGGAAAGGTGGATATAATTACTGGTTAAAGAGGTTAAAAGGGTAAAGGGAGGAGGAAACAGGAGCAACAGCAACTTATCCAAATCCAGACAGGCTGACACAATCATGTAAGACAAACCACTTTAAAGCAACATTTATGTTAGGATCGGTCACATCACTGACTGCCTGCTAAACAGGCTGTTAAAGTGGCCTGTGGCCAAGCATGCTCCTACATGTTATGGAAATATGGATTTAATGTTTGCAAATATGGTCTCGTCAGGTCTTTGTGTACCCATCCATCAGCCTCAGACCCACCTCTGCAATCTTGGAGGCAATTTGTCTGAGAAGAGGTGGGCGGCAGAGAGCCCTCCTCACTGTTTAGCAGGCCCTGATGAAATATCAAAACACACAGCAGTGCAAGCAAGCGCTCCAGTTTCACCACAACAAACACAAGTGGCTGGGGTCTGCCAAGGCGTGAGGCGTGGTAATAAATTACAGGACACATTCTTTTGGTGATATTTCTCAAGAGATGTGAAATTAATGTGACTCAGTTCAGGTTCACTTAAGCAAGGCATTAAAATGTTGACATTTAAATCCTGGGAAGACTTCAATAAAAACTAAAGCTTCCAAAATCAATATTTATATATGAATAATGGATCACATTAATAGGTTTATGTGAACGGGGTTGCTTATAGTGACAAACTCATAGAGATTTATTGCCTGACTCTGCAGTTCCCCTCGCACCTGAACCTTTTTAGTGTCTTTTATCTCATTGTTTTGGTTTTCACTTTGCTGTTTTGGTTCACTCTCAGCTTTCGTTGTTTACAGCAGAAAATAAAGCTTGAAAAACTTGGAGGACAATACCTGAACAGCACCAGATGGCAGACAAAGTCAGTGAGTAACTGGTGAGCAAAGTGGAGCATTTAGCAGCTAAAGAGCCAGATATTTCCCTCGAGACCAAAAATAGAGCAAAAAAAAAGAGAGTGAATATTGGACTTAAATTTGTCTGGAGGACACAGTCACAACTACAATTGAATTCTAATGTTGCTCACTATCTTCTGGATGTGTAAACAGGCAACTGTTGCTAACAAGTTCTCCATATTAACTAACCGAAGTGGCCTAAATATCAGTTAATGGAAGTCATTCTCTATAACACTGAATATCAATGACTAAGTAAGCAACAGTCATGGTAAAGGTAATGGATTTTTTTATAAGTAGTTTAACAGTGAAAACTGTCTGTTGTCTGTCTGTTGGTGTGGTTTGATCTGATTTGACTGACAGTAACCAAACAACCCAACAACTTATCAGACTCAGATTCAAACATTGCAAAATGCAGACTGGTGCAGTGAAAAGTGACAACACCTTTTTCTAAATGAGCCTTGCCCAGTTGAAACCAGTGAGAAGAGCACAATGAAACGAAATAACCAAAACTGTCTCAACTTTGGCAGAAAAGTGTGCTGCTGATTACTACTAGTCATTACTTCTAGTAAGGAAACTGAATGATGAAATAAGTTTTCGGGGCCTTTAAGCGTGACTCGATGCATTGTGGCTCCATGTCAAGCCAGCGCCGAGGGAGGAAGAAGAAACACTAAAGAGAAACCAGGTGATAAAGCTCAAACAATACCGGCCAACAGAGAGAGGAAGGGGATGAAGATATGCTGAGACAAGATTAGCAGGAAATAAGAAGTGGATTAGTGAGGGCTTGACTCCTCTGAACACTGAGACCTTTCACTTTTCCCCACGGTGTTGTGCTGCCTGACACTAAGCCCGGCTCTTTATCTTAATCCTCTTTTCAGCAACTGTTGGGGGGTCCCACGAGCAGGAAGTGGAGAGGCTGCTTTACTTACCTCAAGACGGGCTTGGTTGAGTTGCGTTGGACACATTAACAGGACTTGTTCCAGTGATGTTGAATTTCTCCATGAAGTTTGACGACGGAAACATGCAAAAGGGATGAACATGAAATGGCAGAACTTGTTGAAGTGATAGTGGGACTTTTAATTTGAAAGAGCCTCACCTCGTCAGTAAGGCGTCAGCGGGTCATGTACAGAAGCAACAGGAGCGTGATGGATGATGAATGAACACATACACTAGACAAATGTGTTGATTTCCCTAAATGCAGGGAAGGCTACATTGTTTTATTTGAGTGTTTATTAATAGGTCAACAGTCAGCCAAGCATCCAAGCATACAACATGTTACTCTTTAGCTTTTGCCTTGTTTCACGTTCTGAATGTAAAGGAATTACAATAGGAAAATTAACTTGAACAAAAAACAAAACAAAACCAAACCAAAAAAAAAAAAAAAAAGATATTTACATACTGCATTATAAATATGTCAAATGTACATCATTATACACAAGTACCAAAGATGGTCGGTTAATGTCGAGACCAAACAAAAGTACCTTAAAAATATGCCTAAAGAGAAACAAAAACAACATATCAAAATATGGTTCATGGGTCAAAGGGACTGTTGACCTAAAACCAGTTTAGTTTGTTTCTCTAGGAGGAGCTTGTGTTCAGATAAAAGCATTAAGCTAATATGTACACTTCATGTTGGGTTTTAGGGGAACAACAGGCAGGTTTCTAGTGTTCTTTCAGCATCTACAATATGTAAATAAGGGTTCATGTAGTCACTATACACACTAAACTCCACTCAGTAATCCCCTCGGACACTGAAATGTACTTATTGACATAAGTTGGTCAAGTAGAAATCAGAAATAAGGCCAGTACCACGGTACAGTACAAGAAAATTCAAAAGGTATCAGGTTGAATCTGTGGCCTGTTTTAGGAGGTCTTGAAGAAATCGTCTTTGGGAAATATGCTTATTCGCTCTCATGCCTGTACTATGGAGCTAGAGCCAGGAGGCCGTTAGCTTAGCTTAGCTAGAATAAAGACTGGAAGCAGTGGGACTCTCCAAAGTTTAAAAATCCACCTACCAGGACTTCTAGAGCTTATAAATGAACATGCTATATCTTATACAAAACCAAAAAATACAATTTGTGTTTTTAGAGGGAGTTACGTGGTGTAACTGTTTGCTAGGCTAGGCTAGGCTAGGCTAATCACCTCTTGGCTCCAGCTTCATATTTTTTGCAGAGGTATCAATCTTCTGATCAAGAAAGCAAATAAGCATATTTCCATTAACAAACATCCTCATTTAACAACATTTTCATTCACTGTGGGCTCTGAAAACAGGAATACTGTAAAGCAACAACAGACTTGTAAAGATAAGGTACCAAGTTAATAACTTGCTCTGTAAACATACATCCTGCCTTTGTAAACCCATAAAATCAAGACGGTTTTAAAACCTTTAAAATTGGCAGTTGAGTAAAAGGGATAATACGCTGTAGACATTGTGTCAACTCCACCTGAATTCATTTCTTACCCAAGTCCTATTTACTATAAATTAATTGGCTTATCGTGTCTATGAAATTCTGTACATTTGTATTAATGCAAAGAGAGTCAAACTAATTACGCTTCCCTATATGAGCCTCCTTGCTCATTTTAATCCCTAAATGTCCCTCTCACTTCACTGCATTTTGTTAACTCCCTGCTTTTAGACCGACAGGTTCTCAGGATAAGGGAGGAAGCATAAGGAAAAAGGAAAGGTTGGGGTTTTCTTTACTCTAAAAGTCAGAGTTAGTTCCGACGGTTCTTATAAGGAATAAGGTGAAGGAACAAGAACTACTTTTTTACAGAGGTCTGTACATTAAAACACAGGTACATCCCCAAATCTTCACTGTAGGTCTCTTCTCTCCAGTGTCCTTTCTCCAATGTTTATGAACAGAAATGCCCAGTCGCTCTCTGCTGCACACGGTTACAGACGAAGACGTAAGCACACACGTATCATACGGTTATGTATGGACACACACACACACACAGCACCATATATGTATTTCACAGCAACGAAAGAGGAAATGGTTTCAAGATAACCAATTTTACAGCCTTTGGCCACAGGAGGTGAAGGGACATACCAGTACATAGTATGATTTGAAACTGGGTAAATCTGTGTCAAACAATTATCAAGACAATCTGGTCAATCGGAAAATTACTCCAACAAAGACATCGTAATGGTACAATTTCACTGTTTCAATGAATCCTTTGAATTTGAATGAATTCTGATTGAAGAGGCAAGCTCACAATGCCATGTGGCTCAATGGTCATAAAACATTAAGCCCCTTAATTCCTTTATAGTCATGGACACTTTTACTTGAGGATCACGATAAGGGTGGCAAAGGAAATGACTCACTTTCACCCAAAAGGAATTCTGCAATCAACTCTTTTATGACTATCCGAACCCTTTTTCCTGTGAATTAAGTATCTAAATCATTTGGACTCTTAAACTATAATTGCTTTGCCTTTGTATATGAATAATATGTCAAGAGTTTGATAGCCGTGTTGAAGACATAAATCATTACTGAAGTTGTAACAGCCACTGATATCGTGGAAGATTTAGTTTCTTTCCCACATTATTGTTTTGTCACTTGTACAACTATTCCTCACAGTTTTATGTTATTATGCTTAGGCTTGGAAATTTGAAGGAAGTTTCTCATTCGCGCTCATTACAAAATCAGTTCATGTCGCAGAAGGGGAAGACATAAAAGGAAATGTTCAAGCATTAAGGAAATGCTTTTCGTAGGGTAGGTATGAATGCCAAAGTAAGTCATTTGTTTGGTTGATGCTTAAAAAACAAAAAGCTTAAAGCTGATCATGATCATTTCAGACCAAGATTGAATGAATTTAACAAAACAAATACAAAATAATAATATAAAAACAAACAATGTACAATGTCCAAACCCCAAACGCCCACTTCTTTTGACGTAGTGGAATATCAACAATGAGTCCATCACTCCTGACATCTCTCCATTAGTACTGATTCTGGGTTACACAGTGTGAAACAGAGGAGGAAGTACTGGGAAGAGACAGGGACGGGTTCAGGGTTTTGTGTGTTTGTCTGCGGCTGCTCTCCGGGCTCCTACATGATGCTGATACTGCGGTTGAGCTCACACTGGGCATTGTTGTTGTTGATGTTGGGATTGGGGTTGCGGCGGCTCATGTTGGGCGTGGGCACGGATGTCAGGCTGCTTGTATCGTTGGGGCAACCGTGCTGAAGTAAGATGTCCGCGCACTCCTGGCTGCCAGCTCGCCGAGCGTAGGACAGCGTGGTCTGGCCACGAGCATCCCGACTCTTCACGTCAACACCGTACTGTGGGAGGAAGTGACAGGTATGAAAGGCACATTAGACATACGATTTTACTTATTTTGTGGAAATTACATTTACAATTAAAAATACGGGTAATACAAACGCTAGTGTGAAAATGGGATTATAAAAATACCATATGTGATGAAAGCACTCCCATTTTTCCTCAGTTTTATCACATTTTCATTGAAAAAAAATAGATATTTTTTTATTGAATATCCTTAAAAAGTGAACATTAGAACAAGGAGCCTCATGCATATTTGAAATTCTTGAACACTTTGTATCAGAATACAATATTTACAGTATATTCTGTATCTACTTGTCCCAACACTCTAACAGTACATAATAATAGCCTAGCTATCTTGTCCATTTCACACACATTTACCCATACTGACATATTTGGTATCTTGGACAATTTTGATATACACAACATGTTTTTGTTTTTTTTTACAGCTGTAGTTACCAGTGAGGTAGCTGTATTTTTCTGGGAACTCGTGTGTTTTTAACAACCTCCCTTAACTTTCTACACTTAAAATGTTATCAGACTTAAAATGGACTAATGTTTGGGACAAGAAATTAAATAAATAGACGATTCAGTATTTCTCCACTGGAATTTATGCCTAATAGTGTGGAGAGAGCTTTAAAACGGCATTTAAACTGTTGGGAAATCAATGGTAACGCTTTATTTTATGGGTCTGTCAATTTTCAGTACTTTCTTATTGTCTTCTTGGAAGGAAGTGTGTAATCTGATACTAACTGCAGCTGAGACAATTAGTTTGGTTAGAATTCAGTTAGTTGTGTTGAGTTTATAGGCAGTCACTGACTCCAGGAGAAATCTCCTCAAAAGGAACTGCTCCTTTTAAATAAAACTTGCAGAACTGGTGTCTGTGAGGGGGCTTGTAATGAGAAAGTGGCCCCACTGGCAAGGTTTGTTGGGAAATCCTTTGACACTTTAAACTGCTAATTCACTCGCCCAAACAATAAATGCCTTCAATAACAATGTTCATCCACTTCTGACCATTAATCTCAACTCACCCAGATAAGCAGCTGAGTGATGACCACATTGGCCATTGCGCAAGAGAGGTGCAGAGCAGTGCGTCCGTCTCCGTCCCCGTAGGTCTCGTTAACCTCCTCCTTGGTGCCGTGGGCCAGCAGCACCACCACCAACCTCAGGTCATCCTCCACCACCGCCCGAAGCAGCTGCTGCCCCAGGGGCACGTCCGACTGGGGCAGTCCCACCAGGAACAGCTTCTGCTCATACTTGGCTCGGATCCAGCGCTCTTTTTCCTCCCTGGAGAGACGGAAATGACAGGGACGCTACGGGTCAGACACATGGTGAACATGCTATGGGCAATTTAGCACCTGAGTTAAGGAACTTTCAGTGCATATCTCATAATTCAGAGGCAGTGATTTAAATACAAAGCCATGTGCAAAAGGTAGAATGTAGACACACAGGGGAAGTATTACAGTAATTGACCTAAGAGACTCACAAGTGTAAAGTGACATTTCTAAATTATTAGAGCACAGGAAAGCCACTAGCCTCCACTATCACAGTGGGAAATAATACAGTGAGATTGGCTACAGAGATGAGAGAATGCCAAAGGGTACGACGCTTTGGGCAATATTCCACTTTCTAGTGATTACAGTCGACAGCAAGACGGTTAGAGCCTGGCCAGCTTTCTAAAGGTTACACATCTCGAACAGCATGTCTGCTGCGGACAATACAGGAAGGAGGGGGATGTATTTTTATCAGCACTGTCTGCTGTCAGTCTAAACTGGTGGATCCCCTCCACAAAAGAGGCAGTGTGTCTCCGAGCCCCAGTCTCCCTTGGGGTGGCTGGGCCCTGAGTCAGATCGATGGGGCTGAATGGCAGCCAGAGAGGGACGGTGGGATGTGGGGCTCCTTCACTCCAGCCTGCAGCAGAGAATAGAGACTGAGGGAAGGCTCCATCCTCTATCGCCAGTCAGAATTATATCTATTGCTCTCCATCTTGACCCCCGTTTCATTCTCTGCCCACATACAAACTGCCCAAATAAGAAAGAAAAAAAAAAAAAAATCAATATCAATATGTGAATGACTGAGCATGCCCAGTGTGGCACTAACCCTGTGACCCTGTCAGTCGGTGTGATAAGGGAAGCAGAAAGAGGCTGTTGTTTGGATTTGCGGGTGAGTGACAGAACGGAGAAGGTTTGTACGGATAAGTTGAAACGGCGACGCTGGCTAGAGTGACAAGGCTCTCATGGGACCCCCTATCAACGGTCTGAGGCTTAGCAGCAAGTATAAACTGACAATCTAATTCACTTCAATTCTATTTCATCATAATCAAAGTGACAACAAACTCAAACAGCACAACTTAATTACCAAAATCAACCTTTTAAATAACGGAACTTCACATCTACATATTAAATTCTATATTTTATAAACATATATTAAAAGGTTGATTCAACCAAATTACAAAAGTAGTATTTAGCCATAGAGACGCATTTGGTTTCATTTGATTCTATCCATCCATGAGATTTCTGTTTCCACCTCAATATGACGGTTGAATGGAATTTGTGGCTCTTACAGGTTTGTAAAATGACATTTAAAGTCTAAAGCTAATGTTATTTTATATTTTTGTTGTCGTCAAGTAATCTCATGAAAAGAATACAACAAACAATGTGTTCGTATGTCTCTCAATACTTTCTGACTTGCCTACCCTGTCTGTGGCTCTCCTAACTTGAATCCTCACTCAATACACTTTTCTGTGTAGAATAAAGGCATTACTGGTCTTTTTGTGGGATTCATTGTCAATAAAAAAATAATTCATAATAGATAAAATTTTGCCAGCCTTAGAATTATAAAACATTCACCAATTATAAAACATAAGAAAACATTTACCTCTTTCCTGAAACAATTTCCTGGTTATTCTAGACAATTGCTTGAATAAAACCAGAAACTATCTGCACTGCAGAATACCACTAGAGATAAAAATGTCTGTGAACCAACCCAACGTTTATCCCCCAAATAGCTCATTTTCAATTACAGCAGCGGTTTTAACAATAGTAACCAGTTCACCATTAGTCACTCTCCTTCATTACGTCCTTAGCAGCTAGGTGTCAAGGCTGCCAACTTACCACAGACAGCAACCATTTTCAGACTCATATGTCAGCTGCCAGGCTCACTTCACAGAGCAGTCTGTCTTGCACAGAACAGCCTGGCACCAGCCCAAACTACAGGAGTTAAGGATGTGATGGAAGAGGTACATGTCTTTATCAGAGCTCAAGCACAGGTTGATTTACTGCAAAACACCACTAGAAGCTCATAAAGCAACTTAAACCACATCTTAAAATAGTATATTGTAGTATAATAGCTATTGCGGCTGTAAGCATATGGTTACATTTCTGTTGTGACCTCAAAAAAATGTAGAGGAGAAAGTCCTTTACCCCGCTAAACCATAAGAAAATCTTTTCTTAAGGATGAGGGTATTATGTGAGTAACAATACAGCCCTAATGGCAGGCAATTGCAGTGGCTCAGAGTTTTATGGTGTAGGACCTCCATCAATCCCTACTCATTCATTATGTGTGGACAAGCCTGTTAGCAAATCAATTGGCCTTAGAACCAGAGGACTGCTCAGAACAGGAAGGGGCCGTCCTGCCCTCCCCTCTTATTTCCGGTGGACTCTTTGAAAACAAGAGTCTTTCTATTTTTCTTTGCAGCCAAAGAGGTTATAGTATGTCTAAAAACTCTACAACCAAATGTAATCCTCAAGGCCAAAAATCTACAACCTTTAACAAAAATCTGAGCATGGTTAAAAACAATCCCTGAGAGCTGTTGTCCAAAGTTTGTTTCAGAAAGCTAGACCATGAATGAGATGCTGAATCTGTAGAGCCCAGTGAATTGATATGAGCTAAATGAGGCAGAAAGTTAGCACCAAGACGTGAAACAAAAAGGCTGAGGAGAGCCATTAAGAAGACGTCAACATCTCAGAAAGGAGCCCTGAGGACACTTTGTTATCCTTCGCTACAAAATCAGCCCTGAAGACCTGCAGGAAAAGGCCTTACTCACTGCTGATGCTGAGCTCTAAATTCAACCACAGTTCTCTTTACATGGTCTGCTTTAAAAAAAAAAAAAAAAAAAGAAAAGAAAAAGCAGCCAGGCAGTGGTTTTTAAAAATTCCTAAGCTGCTGCCACTTGAAAGAGTGTGAAAGGAAGTGAAATGGTAATCCCGCCTCTGTCTTTTGTTTGAAATAGAAAAACAATCCAAACAGAGGTAGGGTTTAGACAGTCAGGGGGAAAACTGAGACCCTTGAAAAGGACACTTCCTCACCACAGGAGGAAGAAAAATAAAATCAGCAGATTTAGCATGTCAAAGTGCCAGGACAGAGTAGGAGGGGAGGTAGAGAGGGAAAGGAGAGTGAATTTTCACAGCATGGGGGGGGGATATTTAGGAAACTGAACTGATGGTTACTCTTCTACACAAACACACATCCAGGCATGGACACCAACAGACAGTAATTTCCCCACCCTGGCTTGGGCGCATACTTGTTCTGAATTTCTCTGTTGCTCAGGGGACGGAGGGGAGCTTAAGGTTCCCAATAAAAATGCCTGTGTCTCTTTCAACAAAAAAACAAGCTTCGCTTCGCCCGCAAACTTCCTTCGTCACTTATCTCGCAGCTGATGATGATTGTTTAACTTGTAACTTTGTATTTGAAAGAAATCTTGGGCAAACATCAAAATGCTTACTGAGTTTTAAAGTGGAAACCGGCTCCTGTCCAGAGCTGGTGTCCGCTTTCATTTGCCTACGCAGAGCCCATCTCGATAAAGGCAGCCTTAACAGTAGAGAAAGGCCTCTTTTATAATTCTATTAGAGCTCTGTCCTTTCAGCTCTCCGTTGAGCAATGGATCCTGACCCTGACTTAATTAAGTGGCAAATGGCGGAATGATTCTCCTAAACCCAGCCCACGGAGTCAAGAACACATGACTGAATTCAAATAAAGAGGGACAAACAAGGATAATTAGTCAAGCCTGAAAGACAAAAGCGAACGGGAATTTATAAGAAGGGAAGGGAAACTGAGACGGCGGAGGTGGAGCCAGCGGCAGAGTAGCCACAGAATGACCAATCTGACTGCCTGCAATAAAGGTGCATTGGTCCATAGGAAGAGGAGGATGTCCGTCCCACCACTCGCCCATCTTTCAAACACATACTGAGCCCTCCTAAACAATCAAAGCTTCTAGGGCTCCTCCTACTCTTCCCCGAGGACCCAAATTCACTGCGGACACATCAAATAGACGCAGTGAAGGGGAGAAATACCGGTGGTGGCATTGGAAGGTTGGAAGGAGGGGAGAGAGGGCGGGGAGGGGGGGTTTTGGGGTTTGACCAGCATGAACAGACCTCACAGTGGGGGTGGGCAACTTGTATGGGACCGATTCCCATGCAGCCAGCAGCTTCACTTCCACAAACCGAGGGGAGGGAAGAGACAGAGAGCGAGGAAGAGGGACAGCAGCAGAAAGACAGAGAGGGGGCTCGGAGGGAAACGACAGAGATGAAAAAAAGCGCACACAACAGGGAAAGAAAGCTGGGCCCCAAAGCATCAAAGGTTGCTAAGGGCGAGAAATGAAGGAGCAACACAGTAAACGCCGCAGCTATAGTGCTAAATAAGGCCCCCCTATGGTCCAGCGGGTACAGTGTAGACATGGTATGCTCTGCTCTGAGAAGAACAGCTGCAAAAGAATTAAGACAAATATTTTTACAAGTGGAGTAGATTCCACTCTTCTTGCTACCAGAGTGCGGTCTGAACAGATGACCAGTATTCAAAAGGTTGTTGTGTTGAGCTCTATAGAGGCCAATAGGAGAGCATCTGGGTGCCGTAGGCAGGCAGAGGGATGAGTTGAATATATTGTGACATTAATGAGGTTGTCAGACTCCTTGTGATGGAGTGGCTGTGTTTTTGTGCCAGCAAGACTAACACCCTTAAATGCTCATGCTGTTAACCCCTGCTGAACCCTCGCCTCACATACAAAGCTGAGGGGACGATAACACATGCCCCGCTTATGCATGCAGCCTGCTTCACGTACGCACACAGTACAAAATCTCGCCACATAAATGGATTGTCATGGATCCTTTCTCTTTCACGTCATCGGACAAGAACATTTGTACAAAGTTACGACTTTGTAATGCTAACATTAATGTTACAACTAAATTGCGCGGTTAAGTAGACGTCATAATGAATCAGTCCTCCCTTTACGTCTACCTGGCTCTGAAAACCCGGTGGCATGTGTGCAATTAGTGACTGTGGTACCACTTCTCCCACACAGGGCTAATTACTGACCTGTGGGTTTCATTTAGAGAGAGAGAGAGGGAGAGAGAGAGAGAGAGAGAGAGAGAGAGAGAGAGAGAGAGAGAGAGAGAGAGAGAGAGAGAGAGAGAGAGAGAGGGAGGACATGGGACTCAAGACCCAGTCATTCATTTGTCTTAATTAATTACTCTTCCTCTACCAGGGCTCCTGGCAAGGCCGGTTATTCTAAAAGCTCTTTTGAGAGTTGGCGTTCCAGCACTTCTAACCTGTGAGTAGCCCGCAAGCTTTGCTATGTGTTTCAGGGAATAACGTGGAGGGCAGAGGCCACCGTGGATAAATCCTAGACCAGGAATCTAATGGCCACAGCACCGATGTCGTAAATGGCCACAAACAGCTCGGGAGGACAGCCAAGTTGCAACTTCCAGAGCGGAAGGGGTTAAAAGAGGCAGTGGGGCCAGGTTTGGAGAGGTTAGCGGTGTGATTCATTTTTATTACCACGCAGCCCCTGCAGGCGGCAGGAGTGGCAAATTATTTCTGAAACAAAGTGGAGGGCTCTCATCAGAGCTATTACCTGCCTGTGGCCGAGGGCGGCGCGGAGCCTACAGAGGGTGACAGTGAGAGGCCCGCGTCAGTGAGGGATAGCCGTCCACATCCGTCCACGCTCCAGGACATCTCCCCCAAATGAGAACTGGTGTCTGCGTATGTGTGTGTGCGTGTTCCACTGTGAGTGTGTGTGTGCCAGTAGAAGATGAGGGTAAAGTTAGCTGTTGGACCTCCCCCACAATATCCGTCAAAATAGTCTGCGGTGTTTTCTATCACGAACATGCCAAGCAATTAGAGGTGACGTGCAAAACACAACGACTCCCAGGTGCTAATTAAAAGAACAACTCCCTTCCAATATGCTGACTGCAGAGATCAGCCATGACGCAGGGCTCGCACAAATTTATTATCATGGATGTAACTTGTAGCCTGACTTCTGCTTTTAATGCATTCTGTGCTGCTTTTTAATGAGGCCTTTGTCAATGGGTTATACATAGTAACAAAAGCCATTATTAATAGTTAATAAATCATAAATTCTTTGTAGATCAGTTATAAGCCATGAATAACAACAACTTTCCAGGTTTTGAAAAATCACTTTGGCTGTTTGAAGCTTCTGACCACTTAACTTGGAAATGGACTGCAGATGATCTGGACCCAAATCAATCAATGTTTAACAAAATATTAACACTTAACTGCAGACTTCATGACTAAAAGCATGTATTAATGACTTATTAACCTTTAGAAATGAAGGCTTGACGGCTTATTAAACAGTGAGTAACACATTAGCATTTATAATGGATTAACAAAATTTATAACATTTAACTGGCAATCCAGCCTATGTTCCTATGGCTTATAACTTCATTAGCAAGTGATTTATTAACCTTTAATACAGCCAGAGAAGAAAGTAGCACCACACATTTTACTACAAGGTCTAAAAACATACGCATAGATACAAACATGCTTCTCATTATGATGCCTGTAATAAGTCTGATGTACACCAGTAATTTTTAATGTTGCTGTGCGGCTCTGCGTACGACAAATCTATATATTGTGTTCTTTCGATCCAAAATATCATAAGCTAAACCAATCTTGTGGATGAATGCTTTTAAGTTAAATCTCAAAAATGCAAGGGGTAAAACTAGTCTTGCAGGAGACATTCAATCAGACACTGAGTTGATATTCAGGTAGTTACTGAATCGTTTAGATTAGGTGTCACTAATGTTTAGTGGGACTCGAGAGCCATACACTGCCTGCCTGGGTGCCATCACAAAGCTGCTACATGTCACCGATGTGACACAATTAAAATCCTCTCATATGTGCACCGCTCAAGTTAAAGAGGAGCATACACAGAGAGAAAGTCAGGTTAGGATTTATGGTGTTAACGGAAATAAAAAAAAAAAAAATACAACCCATTAGGTTGGTTATAATTCATCATTCATGATAAAGCAAAAATAATTTGATACCAGCGTTAATTCACAAGGGTACGCTGCTCTATCAGCAACAAAATCATCAGCATCCCAATAACCAGTGGCCATATGTGATAGTTACAACTGCTGTTTTTTGTCTGAAGATTAGTTATGCTGCAAATGAGATTTATTGTTTGACAGTGAAAACTAATGGAGATGCTGCTGCGGGATAAGATCGGATTTTTTAGACAATGAAGAACCTTCCAGCTCGAGGCGACATGGGACTGACAGTGGTAGGGAGAGGAATCAACATCAATAATCTTTCATCAAGACCACGGTGGAGCATTTTAGCACAGATACCATTCAATAAATAACTGTAGGCCATCATTCAGTTCTGAACTGGCCGGAGAGCGCAGGATGGATTCACGAAGAGAGAGGAGACTACCAGCGCAATGAAAACACAATGAAAAACCGTCCATGAGCAAACTGAAACAGCCTTTTAAATAAACTTTTCCTTTATGTTCCCAGTATGTACAGATGAAAAGGTGACTGTTTTGTGCTGAAGTGTATGCTGAAACTGCTCCATTGAGAAAAAAAGCCTTATGTATTGTAGTTATACAAGTTCAAAACCATAAAATGCACTCAGTTCTTCAGAAAAATCGATACTGTCACAACCAGAGCCATGCATTAGTGTGACTGTGACATCAACGATTTGGGGAAAAGGCCAAACTCATCCCTCATGTTTCTGGTTATGGATGATGTGAGTGGTGGTTCTTCTTTGACAATACATGCTATATAAACAGCCTGTAAAACCCGCCATTTTATTTTCTTCGCACAAACAATGCATTCATTAAATGGTTTAATTGCGTCTTTAAAGTGAATCGATTCTTTAATTTTAATAATACATTGACTTTAGAAAGTTATGGTGGGTAAGTGGTGGAGGCCACCCCAAACTCTCTCTTTAATTTAATTCACAGTTTTCTTACATCACATTATGTCTTAACACTGTTTTGTTGTTGTTGTTTTTTTAAAATAAATGAATACTTGTGTGTTTTGGCATTGAAATGAAGAAAAGTGATAAAAAATATTAGCAGTGCAAAAATTGTCTTATCGTTCAAGCCATAGTATCATTTCAAAGCTGAATTTAGGCCTGGAACTGCTGACAGTATTCATAATCTATTGCTTATGTTACGTAACAAAAACCCATCTCAAGTTGCCTGAGCCCAAAGTAATATCCTAGTCCTATTACTTGACTACTTACACTGTACTTACTTACAATACTATGAATCAGAGAAAACCAGTCACATCCTCACATTTTACAACATAAAATAAGAGTGTTTTTGACATTTTTGTTTGAAAAAAAAAAACTATTGCTGATTCATTGTTTTTTAGTGCTTTCTGCTTCCACTTGTATCAACTTATACTACTGGTTGTGAGCACCCCGTGGTTTATCAGTAATATGTGTATGTTATTTTACATGTTTCCACTATGGTGAACAATATAGTTGTATTGTATTAATCGCCTACATTTTTCAGCACTCAGAGAATATATGACTCCACTAAGGCTGCACTATCCACCAAATTTAAATTTTAAACTAGTCACTTGTTCTGTGGACAAACTTTTGAAAGATTTCAGTGAAATTTGATGTAAATGTTTTTGAGGTATCCTGCAAACAAACAGATCTGCTGCTTACACTGCTAAAATGTGATACTGTCCGTGTCTGCTGATATATTAAATATATAAAATCTGCTATCAATTTAGTAGAAGTAGTAAAAAAAAAGTAACCAACTTTCTCTGTTGGTATGTCACTTTTCGTAACAAAGTTACAAAGCTGTGATGTTAAAACAGTCTAATGCCACCAGGGAGACCCTACAGACAGTCTTTGCAGTGACAGACGGAGTGATGACCCGGCCCTGTGTGATGGATATGTGACACGGCAGCTTGGGGCCCGAGGGCCTGGCTCTTGGGGTGGGGTTTAGCCATAATGGTGTGCTTAATTACCTGCACAGCCACACAGCAGGTCATTAGTCAGACTGGGACGCTAGGTCTCACCTGTCACCAAGAGATAAACAATCCTCCTACCAGATCTGGGTACCTCAGAGGAAAGGGATCGGATAGTCATTGGGGTAAGTTGGGGCAGGGCAGTGCGGGGTAAGTGGCAAAGTATAATTTAAGAGATACATATTAAAAAGATGGAAAGCTACTTGTTAGGTTCCGAAAGTAAAAACTCGGCTTAAGTAAGTTTTATAAGTTCGGAAAAATTCCACATTCCTGCCTACTATTAAACTCTCATCCGTGCACACTGATATTGAGCAGGAACAAAGAGCTAAGGCTGGTTCCTGATATGGTTTAGATTAAAACAACATGTTCAGTGACAGACTTGATGGATTTGGAGCTACTGTAGTTAGGTAAGTGAGTAAGTTTGTCGCACATGACTCTCAAGTCAAGTTAGTAAAGGGATGGATGTACTAGAAAACAGATGTGGTGCAAATAGAAGATATTATATCCTAAAATGTAGAAACAAAGGGATATAGTTGCAGACAAAGTACTGACTCAAATAAAACGGAGGCATTGTGATTAACGTGTACAGGATGGACTGATGCTCAGGCATAAAATACTGGGTTCTTGGCTCAGCAGACTGACATTTATGGACCCCCGGTGCTTCTTATGGAGCATTTTGTGGTGTGAACTGCCTGTGCTGAAATGTGGGTGGCTAATAAACGGCAGCTAATGGAGAGAAGACAGTGCTGTCTTCTCATTCTATAATCTCTGCATGTTTCATTAAGCAGCACCTTTATTTGTAGAGGGATGCTAACCTGGTGCTGTCGCTCCCTGGCTTGGTATAGCCCTCCAAAGCGCCCTCCCACACGCTGTTGGCCATTGCGTTGCCGATGGCCGTCATCACCATGCTGAGCTCCACCGGCCAATCATCCAGGTCCAGGGAGCGGACACGAGACAGGTGGGTGCCCAAGTTTCTGTGGATCCCGGAGCACTCGATGCACATCAACGCGCCCAGGTTCAGGCTGGCCCAGTCTGGGTCTGCGTGACAGAAGATATTAAATAATTAAAACGACGAGAAAGACGAGTAACAAGAGAAGCTTTATAAATTAGACTGAACAGGAGATGATGAGTTCCTTTTTGAACTTCTTTCACTTTGTTAACCTCTCTTGGACAAAACCTTTGACAAAAGAACTTGGATCTTTGTAGATTCTGTGTTTTGGTGTATGTTTGGATGAAAGGTGTTACAGCCATCAGACACAGCCATAGTGGTTGCTGTTTAGCTTCACTTGATAACCCAAATTAGGATTTTGTCTCTAGTAACAATATTTAGCAAATAAATGTACTTATAATCGTAGGTAAAAGAATGAGTTGAATTGAACAATTGACCTAATGTCTTAGATATAACATCACCAGCTTTTGTAACTGACGTTAAACCCTCTAAGTGGACCTGAATGGAAGGATTTCAGTATTTCAAGTTTAGTTGTGTTGCATTGGCTTGAGATATTAAAGTCTATAGTCTATATGTCTGGGAATGTTTTTATGTATAACTCTTTGTTTCCTACTATAAAATACCTTTATCAGTGAATAATCAGCTGTTATGGTGAAGAATTATACTCACTGGGTGCATCACAATCCACACAGAAGCTGTTCCCCCTCACGTTTCGTATGGACTGAATGGCCATTGCATCACTTTGGCTGCCTAACCGAGACTGTAAGAAGTGAGGGAGAGAATAAGTCGGCAGGAACTAATTATAGCAAGAGTAAGAGAAGGCAAACAATTACAGCTGGACTCAAATCATAGACAACCAGTGAGGAGAGGGAGGGAAGAGGTTTTTCAAAGTCTTAGGAAAAAACTGAGGCAGAGAAAATATGAATATGAAAATGAGGCTGTGTCTCCCCAGTATGCTGACACAAGCCGTGTTCTATCTCTGATGTCTGTCAGTTCTAATAAGAGATCCCCCACACTGCGGTGCACCTGTCTGACAACCTCCCACATGTGACAGCTTGAAGTGGGTGAGGACGGGCGGGGAAGGGGGAGGGCGCAGTACAGGTTGGGAAAGCAGGGAAAAAGAGGAATGTAAATGAAGCAGCAGAATTGTAGGATGATGAAGATAATTCTCATCTTCCATGACCTACTGTACCTTGTTCTTTATGCTCTCGCAGGACTGCAGGCTGGCAAAGATCTGGCTCTCAATTGCTTGGACCCACAGTTCCCTCTCCTCATATGTAGATGCTTCGAAGTTCCACGTCTGACCGGTCAGCGACACAATGATGAACTCGAAGGAATCCTCTTGCTCTGGAAAACACAAATAAACAATAAATTGGTACTCGATCAACACGCATGTCGGTTGTGAAATCTGACTCTGCAAGTCAGTGGCACAGCTCAGTGATTGAGGCCCATCCATGCACGAATGCACGATGGAATGAGCTTCTGTTGAACTCAGCAACACTCAAATGATTTCTTGGCACGTCCTGCGATCCCTCCCACTGCTGTTTTGTTTGATGATGCCTCAAAATCTCATGAATGCTAGGACACATTTCCCTTTCTGCTGGAGTCAAATTACTTCAAAGGCCATTGCCATTACCAATCAAAACACAATATCACCCTTTAAAAAATATGTTTTTTGTGATTTAACATCTGATTTAAGGCATTTTCTGCACTTATGTCAACGTTATAAAACAATAGATGAAAGGGGTCTGGGAAAAAAAGAAAATTTTGTTCTAATTATTTCAGCTTCTTTTCAAAGAAATTATGTTTTGCCCGCCATTTTAGAAGATGGGACGTGTGTAAATATTATAATAATAATATAACATTTAACCAGAATTCAAATGTAAATTCATTAAGGATGCAGATTATATTACATATTATCACAACACTGTATTTTTTTAGCCGCTGGTATTTATTGCACATAACATAATATTAGGCTCAGTGAAATGTACCTTGGGAGTTGTAGTTCACTTTTAATTTAAAGGACCAGTGTGTAAGATTTAGTGATAGCGGTAAAGTTGCAGAATCCAACCATCTCCATACAACTCAGCTTTCCAAGCGTCTAGGAGAAACTACAGTGGCTTAAAAAAATGTTGAAGGCCCTATCCAGAGCCAGTGTTTGGTTTGTCCGTTCTGGGCTACTGTAGAAATATGGCTGTTCAACATGAAGGCCTCTGTGGAAGAGAACTCGCTCTCTCTGTAGATAAAAACGGCTCATTCTGAGCAATAGATCCTCCTAAACACTGGACCCTTACTAAACTAAAAACTAGAGATTTCATTAACATACTTTATTGACTAAATTAAAATATAGACAGGGACTTCTAACTTAAATGCTTTTTCAATGTAGACTGATCGTACTGATCTTTTAGTATTTCGTCTTTCAGCATACAGGATAAGGGATTAGGTATTTATTTCGAGATTTTTGCTTTAAATTAAATCTTTCTTGTCAAAACTGTTTCAGTAAGACTAATCGTGATTTAAACATCTCCTCTCTCCTATAATTCTCTCAATGCCTGCTTTGACGACTATTTTTCCCGGGCATAATATATTGACTAAAAGGAAAAAGAAGACAATAATGATGTTTTGTAATAGTATTACTATACAGCTTAACTACTATGTCCAAAATCAACTAGGTTTGTTTACACTTTGCCAACAACTCAAAAACAATGCAAGTCGTGTATATACATTTTTTTCAATTAAATGCATTTTTTTTTTTATATGACAACTAATTAAGCTTCAAACTGGCTTGAAAAATTGTGAATTGGCTGTGTTTTTTTCCCCCCAGCTCTTTGTGTTTAACTAAGATTTATGAAAATGTCACCTGTCGTTTTCAAACAAGAGGTCTGACACAACATATGGTCCAACACATGCTATAAAGCCTCTGCTGTTCAGAAGCAATTCATTAACTCCGTACAGTACAATGTGACTCGTGTAACATCTCTGGTCTGTGCACATGCTTGAGCTCATAGCCAAATGATTTGTAATTACCTAATTATGTCTATGCAAATAGTCATCTAATTTGCATAAACCATGTTTGGAGGACTGCAGGCGAGTAGACACAAGGGCAGTGCTATTCCTGTGTAGCTTTATCATTAATTTTTAATAGAAGTTAAATAAAAAATAAAAAATTGTTTTATGTACAAAATATATTTGTACTTCTAATGCAATCCATTCTGGCATTTGATGCGTGAGGAGATGTTTAATACTAAATTAACTCTGTAGGAGTTATAAAGTGATGGCAGCCTGATGATGATAAGATTATCACACAAATCATCTAATCAAAGAAATTACTACACTTTATATTTATAATCAATTCACCCTCCTTGGTGGCAGACACGGCCCTGTGCCGGTAAATGACAGATGTCTGACGGACTCCACTAATGTAGCAATCCCTGTGCTGTGGTGGAGGGCCATCTCTTCAGGGGGAAAGCAATAATCCAATTAGCTCGACACCGACTTCAATTATCTGATTTAGTTTGTGGAATCGACTACAGGTCAGAGAGAATCAATAAAGGCCTGGAAGCTTCTTTATTTAGACTTACGGTGAAAAAGTCTTTATGTGGGTGTGACATTTTAAAGCACTGGTGGGGACAAAAATATAACAATTTATTTTTTGATTAAATCAGAATGGCCAGGTTAAAGGTACCAAATAGTGACAGAGAATTAAAAAAAAATACGAAAGAAAACAAAGCTTGATTGATTGGAATACATACAGTAAAAATCTTTTTTTTCCTTGTCCAATATAACTCCAGGTACAATAACTAATGCATGTGATTCTAATTTGTGGTTCCCAGACTCAAATGTTGTGGTACTTGTGTTTTCATCTTTTTAGAAAACCTGAACAAAGCTAATTATTCTGTTGGCTGCCCAGGCAATAAATTGGAGGCATTAAAACACTTTCATTATGGAGATTAAAAAAGCAACGGATGACTGGTTTCTTAAACTGATGAGTATACAAGGGAAAACAAATCTAATTCTCCATGCATAGTAATGCACAAGCGACACATACTATAGCCACTAAAGAGACAGAGGAACATGTGCAGCAGGAATCTTTTATGTGTGTCACAGGTACTGTCATTACATGCAGCTCCAGCACGCCGATATTACTTTTTAATGCCGTCCACAGTGTGGCAATTCAGCTCCATAAGCCAAAGCAATTCTGCTCCAGGTAAGCATGATGCTGAGGTCAAAGTGGTCTTCTCAGAGACAGTAAATCTGGGCGCGAACAATGTGTCAAAGGTAACGCTACTATCTTACAGGCACCTGCCACGATGAGCTTGTAAAAGGGTCATTAGTGCTTCTGTTATTACTCAATGGTTGGAGTTAGCACATGGCTAGCATAGGAACGATCACCATGTCACATTAACATGAGCATTAACCTCCTGACCAAATCTATCTTGGAGACTACACTCAACAAGTTCTTGCCAATTAGAAATAAATTAACACAGCTCTGCCAGTGGGCGGACAAGGAAGAACACAATTTAAAGCTAATGGAGGAGCCAACTGTGAAGAATGAGCAAAATATGATTTTCCTTAATTAACATGACATAATAAAAAAAGGAAATTAGAGTGTAATGGCCATGGAGCTACAAAGAGGAAGGGACAGATAAAGATGCACATCTTGGTCCACCATTCACATGGATCGTAAAACTGTTGGGGAACCTCTCAGACATCAGATACTTCATGGCTTCTATCACGGACACTTTAATAAGCAGAATGTATCGCCAATAATAAACGATTGCTTCAAGATACAAAAATAGGTGGTAAATATATTTCTAACATTAAGTAACTAAATATATTTGCTCAACGTACTACACAACAGTTTTGAAGGACTTGTACTTAAATATTTCCATTTCATGCCACTTTATACTTAAGATTATACATAAATCATATGATAAGCTTATATATATGATAAAGCATACATTTTTCTTCTTTTCTAACCCATGAATCATATCACTACCCCTCAGGTTTATCTTGTGACCCTTTGGATGGGGGCCTGACCCCTAAGTTGGGAATCACTGGAATAAAATATAGCACTAGCTGTAACTGTATATAAAGAACCTCAACCTACAACAGTAAAATGCTACTTGAGGCATCAATATAGACAATGGAGTAACAAATTATAACTTTAAAGTACACTTTTTACTTCAGTTGGATTTGGAATGCGGGGCAGAATATTCTTAAATGGTTGTATTCGTACTTTCACTTGAGTAAAGGATCTGAGTACTTTTTATTCATTACAAGAAATTCTTCCACCTTTTAAACCTGTTAAGGTGCTGTACGTCACATTTTAACACCTAGCTAAAAGGTGTTTGTTTGACCTGAAAATCAAAGTGGAACCTAAAAGAAAAGAGTGTGACCTGAGGATGGTGATTCCTCTATTGCTGTGTATGTGCAGCAGATGCACCGCCGAGAACCTGTGGACCAGATTAGCACCTCGGGGGTGCTGAGCCCAGCTGTGCCGTCTGTACGGCAGACAACAACGCAGCATCTATTCTGTCTAAGCCTCTCAAAGACCTCTGGAGACCGGTGTGACGAACCCTTCGAAAGGACTTAGCAAACAGTTCTTAGCCTTGAGGACTCTTCTTTTTTTTTTTGCCATTTGTATGAACACTTGGCTGAAATGATGACAAGGTGCAGAGGTACACAAGGTGAGCTATTGTTTTCTTGTGTAGGATGTGTTGTGTAGTGTCGTATGCATGCATCAGGCAGTCACTTAAAGAAGTGCTTGCCGTTCCCGTGAATTAACGAGCAGTTGGGAAGAACAGGCCAAGGCGGTGCCATCTGTAAATGTCACAGGCACTGCTTGCTCATTTTACACATCATTAAAGCCAATATTCCTAACCTGTATCAGAGCAATCAGGAGCAGGCCATTACTGCGACAGGGGCCCCAGGGGAACCACGACCAAACTCAGAAAGAAGAGAACGGGGAGGGAGAGAGAGATAGAGCACACTCTTTATCTATCTGACACACACATACATACCCACGCTCGTGTACTAACACACACACACACACACACACACACATTTCTGCACACTTTTACATGCGCACGCACATGCTCAAACAAACAAGCAGCACAACACACCTTCCAACAATAAACAAACACATGAAATCAGTACCAATACCACTACCCTAATAGCTAGTGCATTTAACAACAGAGCAGAATGAAAACAGGGCCAATTATACATGTATCTGTGGGCAGTGTGTATGGAGCCCAAATGAGAATCTTGTTATTCCTTTCCCTCCATACTGTGGCGCTCAGAAAGCTAAGCCATTACAAGAGTGGAGGCTCCAGGGACAGCTTTCGGAAATGAGAGCGAGTCGGGGAGTGACAAAACAAAGTATTGAGATAAACACCCACCATTAGCACAGGCAGTTAAACCTCCATTTCCTAATCCTCAGCTGGACTCCAGAGGATATTAACCCTTAGTTTACTAAGGTGCAGGACAAAAGGATACTGGATTAAGGTGGGCAGACAATGTGTAACTTAAAACTGTTTGTGATCGACAGTCGATGCAGTTTAACTTGTAATATGAGCACAGAGAGACTGTGATTTGTTGTTCCAGTCAGGAGCACCGAGACTCTTCTGATCCTAACCTGCAGAACTTGTAGTGTAAGACAGTCAATGGTCTGAATGATTGATAAAAGAATTGTCAATCAATTGTTATTTACATATTTCTGTGGTATTCTTCATATATGTGTTCATTAAGAGACATTGGTAGATCAGCAAAGTTGCAGCAGTTGATTCTATTCTGTCTGGATGACATGACAATATGATATATGAATGTATTTCTAGTCAAATATCTGTCTGTACAAGTTTTACGGTCACATTCCACCTGTATTCCCCCTTCTACAAGTATGCAATAATGTCAATATTTTGTTCCTATTGAGCAAATTAGTTCTTTCTTAATCATTTCCATTGATTTCATTAGAGCAGATAACATATTCCTCAGCAACTATGCAATAAACAGTTAACATTAGCACACCCCTGTTGGATTTGGTTTTAAATTTAGGAGTTCACTTTCTCTACACATAAAAATAATGTATTCTAATTGCTGATACAATCCAGTAGAGGAGTCCTTTCAACCACTTTAAATTCAATCAATTTAAAATTGTAAAATAAAACTGCTTCATTAAAGTCCATTATTGAATATTTTATTTAATAAGAGGTTTATAAACCAATCAAAGATAGATCTGATTAAAACATTTAATTCATCCAAATAAAGTGAATTAAGCCCAGTCCTTCTGTTCCAAACACAATACTGTTTATCACATTTGAGTCCATTATAGCTTATAGAGTTAATGTCTCACAGTATGAGGAATGCTGCCTTTAGTCTGCTTAAGAACTGTAGGCCTGTTGATTTCAATTTGGTTCGATTTGATGTCTGTCAATAGAATTGTTTCAAATCAAATCTTTGGAGGTAGATGTAAGTAAATACTTTAACACCTTCTTTACATTTAAAGCACTGAAGCAAACACTCAGCTCCTGTATTCTCCCTGATTTCTGTGACCTTAGCACAAGTAAATATCTTCATCCATAAAGCTGTAAGAGTTAGGAAGGAGCCTCTCGTCACAATTTCCCTCCATTCCTGCACCTCCCTTTCTGCTCACATTGGACAAGATAAAAAACCCAAAACAATGAGCATTTGATACACTTTCTTTAAAAGAGAAATACATTAATGATGCTCCCTGACAGTCTGCATTAATCAGAGGGGGCTCCCCCTGAACACAACTCTTTATCGGCCATCGATTTTCCAGTGGGTTTATGGCGAGCGACACACCGAGAAAGCTCGTCGCCGAGCGGCTGCTGGGAAACACATTACGGGGCTGTCAGTTGTCTCGCCATGCATCCTGCATCATTCTTTAAGCACATGAGAAGTTCATTACAGCACACAGCTCTGACAGTGCATAGGATATTAGGGACTGTGTCCATTGTGCATATCCTTAGTGGAAGTGCAGCACCGTAGACATAACAGAGAATTTATACATTATCCAAATATGTCTTTAAATTGATTATAAATAAATATGGCTTTACATTGATTTGAAATAAATGCCATCACAAGGCTTAAAATTTAAAGCTCAACTAATGCCTGTTTGGAAGTTTGCTGAAAGTGACAAATGTTCAATTACAGTCTCATAATCATAGTAATGAACTTGGGGTTATAAAATATGTGTAAGATTTTCTCCCACTTCAGCAGCCATGCAGAAGAGTCTCGCTAACTACTGTAGTACCATATTTGGAAATGATGGTGCAGCAACAGTTTCTCCAGGCTCCCTCCTACATCCTACCCGTCCCATGTTGACCAAAATGATTTCTCACCTTAAGACGCGTGCAACGCTGTTTTGATTTATGATGCTTCAAAACTACTAAAATTCAATTTCAGCCTGCATTGCACGCTTCTGATTGCCCCGTAAATGAGATAAACTGATGGCAATTTATTCAAGGATCCCACCTCTCCTCTCCTTTCCTTTCTTCTCCTCTCTCTCTCTCTTTACTGTTCTTTCAACAGGAGACACAACTCACATCCCAGACTTGGGTGAATCCAATATTTAAGCGATACGTCTGTATTCCAGAGCATTCAGCAGAACAGACAAGGTGATGCTAATAGAAAACCTTGCAGAGAACCATGAGAGAGATAGAAAACAATGTGCGTGTTTGATGACGTGAGAAACATTCAAAATCTGCCTCCTCCAGTCTGATTGCTCTTAGATTTCCTCCTCGGGAAGTCCAGGAGTAATTTGACTTCAATTATTCCTGCGTAGGGCATTTATCGATGAGATCTGATGACGTTTGATAATGCCAGCCATCACTCATTCAATGTTTTAACGCGACTGTGTAACTCTGCCAGAAGAGCCCCATTAAGAGCTAAGTAATGTCAAATAAAACAGAATTAATGGACATTACACTTTAACACTACGCTGGGAGCTGCTTCTGTACATGTAGAGCAACTGTGAGAGACCATGCCAAATCCACAAAACGATCAGATCAGAGATTAACTTTCACCAGTATTCTGATGTGACCACATACTACTCTAACAACAAAAACAGCACTACTTATCTCACACCACTTATCTCCGAGGTGCTGATGATGTTCACTCTAAACAACAATGTGGTCAACAGACCCATTCAGACTTTAAAGAGAAGCTGTCAGAGACCATGATAAAAAAGTATAATGATTATAAATGCTTAGCCCCATTTAGGAGGCGTCAATGCCATTGTTGTTGTTATCCAGCGTATCAATCTTGTTGATTGATCATCCCACTCTGGTGACATCAGTTTTATGGCCTCTGAAATGCGTCCCAGTGTTTTCACAATGCCATCCAATTAGGGGACTCCATTCATCATTGGGCTGGAGAATCATTATTAATTGGGTGGAGAGCCGACTGCCACTCCCCTGCTGAGGAGGGCCACGGCTTCTGGAGATCAGGCCATTCAGACTACGGTAAAAGAAAAGGGGGCTGTAAGGGCGCACTGTGCAGGGGGCCACATAGAGATACAAAACTACACACCTTTATGTACTTCATAGGCATATTCAGTCAGAGTATAAAAGATTACATGTTCTGTTTTTCATAATGACTGAAGAAATCTTATTAGTGCGAAAAGTTGAATTGAAGTCACTGTGTGGATGCTTTATGACTAGCATATCTTTAATTCAATAACAAATGATAAAATCCATAAAAAAGTGACGCTTCCATATAAAAAAAAAAGAAATTCTAGTTTCTCCAGATTTTCTGATTTTGTTTTTTTGTACTTGGACCAACAGGAAACGACCCTGGGCCTCTAAATTAGCAAGGTTTCAAATTCAGTTAACCAAATTTCCAGAAAATCAGCATTAGAAAGTGCAAACTAATGTGCGTTTGGGAATATGGGAATATTCGGAGCTGGTTCATCAAGACAGAAACAGCAAGTGGCACTCGTTCATCAGTCAGGTGCCACTGCAGAAGAAGAGGGTGCAACAGGATTCTGGTGTAAGAAGAGCGCAGATCAAACCTCAGTAGAATACAATGAAGAAAACACGATGGAAGCATATCATGTATTAATCTGAGGACCGTTACAATCGCATCATTGATCCACACAGATTTGATGTTTTCAGCTGCCGCTATTTTTAGTCTTTTTTTGCTTCAGAAGTTTTGTTCATTTCAAACCAGTAGCAATGCGATTGTGTTGTACCTTCGTTGCCTGCAGATAAGCCATCGGGCTTTGTGATGCCCGTACTCTTTTTCCGTCTGTGTTTCTTGCGGTTGGCGTGGGGCGAAGGAGGTGGCTCAAGTTTGGGACTTGTGGCGCTGCCCACACTGGAACTCGTGGGATCACTCATTCCATTGGCTGAAAAAACACAAGACAGGGAAAACAATTATTATTTTTTTTATGTTAAATAAGTATGGTAGTTTGGAAGTTAATCTTTAAGTTACAGCGTCAGCTTGGTATCTACAGTTCCATACTAGCTGAGTACAACTCTGCAATCCTGGCTCAGTGACATAAAAACACAGTGAAGCAGTTATGATGCTACAGAGTCGCTCATGAGTGCAGTCACATAAACCTCTTAAAATGCACCTGTCCCATTGATGGGTCATCATTATAAAAAGGGACAAAGCTTTGTTTAGACCCACAAAATTATAGTGCAGAACATTCTCCAAACTTTCCAAACAGGAACATTTGTTGGCTGGTTTACCAGGGAACCATTGATAAAATGATGCTCAAAAAATAACATTTTCAAATGGGTGTAATGTGCAGTCACAAAAAATTACATCTTGGATTTAGCTTTAAAGAGTTTGTGAAACAATTAAGTTACGAATATATGTGGTATGTGACAAATACAATGGACAAAATGTTTTGGTTAACTTTAAAACTATCAAGGGGAAACAGAAAGTTAAGGTTAATTGTCTCATATTTATTGCTATAATGAACCATAATATATAGATAAAGAACTGCATAAGATCAATGAAGAGTGCTGTAGCACCACGTTGACTCTGGGTGACGTTATCGCCTAATGAGGATCGTTGATTTGCTATTTGCTATTAATTGCATTAACTGCAAACTTGGCTCAAGTGGCAAGTCCAGCCTGAAGAAAGCAATGTGTGAGAGTGAAAAAAAAATAATATAAAAATAAAAACTCAAAACACCCATGTCACTTTGTCAGAGTATAAAATGTAGACAGATTAGAAACACTATTTCTTGAGAAAAATAAACTAAGCTGGCAGCATCATCTTAGCTTAAACAAAGTATGTACCTTAATGCATCAAATGTATGAATGCATGAATCATTGTGTAACACTGAGTAATGAATAATGAATGGGATTATCAGAGTTACTGAAAGCTTCATGCAAAGTAGAGGCAGACCTGTTACCTTCTAAAAATGTAGTGCGCAGTAGGAGTTGGTAGTGGTCCAAAGTAACTGTGTGGCTGCAGCCTTAGATAGAGTGAAGGACAGGTATGGGGCTATCAGTGAACAAATGGTTACCTAAGTTAGCCCGCGGCACAGCTCTCTATATGACTGTCTGAGAGTGACAGGGGGCTAAGAGCCGGCTTTGTTTCTTGTAAGTGATTTTATAAATGTGATATTAACCTGTGCTACCGTTGGGCAAAGGGATAGGAGGGATGGGACGATAGGAGGGGGTTGTCAGCTTGCCATCTTTCTGATTTCCTGACATTTGACATCACTTTCCCTTCTTTCCCCCTCCGGATGCCATTATGAATCTGGGAGCGGGGGCCAGGGGCCTGGGGGGAGTGGAGAGGGAGGGCCGGTAGATGGGCCCCATATTGCTCTCCTCTTACCACCCTGTGTGGTGCTGGCAGCCTCCTCCATTGTCTCCCATCAAAAGCTCATTGTAGTGTGGCAAACTCCATTCATTTCCCTGTGCACCGTCCCAGCCCCAGGGGTGGAGTGCAGGAGGACAAGGGGCTCAGGGATTATTGCTGTTGTCGTTGCCAGTTGCACATGCTATAATGTGCAGCACTGTGCCATTAGCCAGTGTACAACATTAGGCCTAATTCGGTCATTACCTTTAGGGAGATGGGGCTGTCTTGGAGGAGTAAGATGGGCTCAGCAGGGGATTGAAGATGCTAACGTGGGGGGAGAGTGGAGCTCAGAGGGCCCGGGGATGCATTGTTTGAGCGTGGGCAAAATATAGGAGACAACACCTGAGACACACATTGTTATGTCTGTACTAGACGTAATAGATTAATCTTGATGAGAGTTGATGTATACAAACAAACAGAATGTCATTATTGGGGGGAAAAAAAGTATAACTACAACCAGTATCTTTAATTTCTTATAAGATACAGGACCATCCTTAGAAGTAGTATTAATAATTCATCATAAATAGTGAAGTGCTACTTGGAAAATAATAATAGTGATTATATGCCATCACATTAATAAACATAACATTGGTGCTTGTGCTGGACTACATACATTATGCTCTCTGGTGTTTTGAATGGCAGCACGCAGCCACACATGTAGCAGCTCCTAGTCGAGGCGTCTGTTTCAATTTCCCTGCTCTCTTACAACAGCCCCCCTGAGACGAGTCATTAGCTAGCTCAGACAGCTGGGGGCACAGGGGTCCTCCATGTGCCCCCCCCTCCCACCCTCTGCTTCCTCCTCCCTCTCCATCCCAGCGTCTGTCCCGCCAGCACAGCTCCGTATGGCGGGTGGAAGACTTGAGCTCCAACCTGTCTCCGACGTGACAGCCAGCATTTGTTTAATGTCGCTTGAGGTTAAAGGGGAGGGCTGCCCCTCAGGGGCCCCAACCGTGTCATAAACACCTCTAATTATCAATTTCTGCCCCTAATGTTGTGGAAAATGACCCTGGCCCGGCTTATCCTGCACCTGAAACATATATGGGGTGATACACCTCCCTTTGTTTGCACCAATCAGGTTGTAGGAAGTCTATAACATGAAGGTATAGAGGAAGGAAATGGATAAAACTACAGTACACATCACTGAACAATAATATCAAAGCACCTGAAACCTAATGGTTTTATATAAAGTAAGGTCTCTTGCCTTTAAGTGGTTCTCAGCTCTAAACTATGCATGGCTGGTAGATTATATTTCTTAAGGTGAGAATTCTGAAGTAAAAAATTGGACTGATTCTGCATTCACTATGGCATTATTAGCTAGCTGTTACTGTGTGCAAGGGCCATCAGGACCAAGCGGGGTAATGAAGCACACTGGGGATCAGGAGTCTCTTTCCCACTCAGCCAAGATCACCTGGGCAGCAGAATAGGTAGCAGCCTAACCTGTGATTACAGTGTATTACACTCCCACCACGGAGATGACAGTTTAAACATGCTTCACGATGAAGACTATGGGTGAGACAAAGAGGGGGCTGCTAACAGCTTCCTGCCTTTACCAATGCCACACTGAAAATGAATGAGAATGAAAAACGGGTGTGAGAGAGAGAGAGAGAGAGAGAGAGAGAGAGAGAGAGAGAGAGGCAGAGGGGGAATGAAGAGGAGAACGGGAGGGGGAGTCATTTCATTGTTATTCAAGAGGCTCTGGGTGAGGAGCACTATGATTCCGCCAGGCCCCTTGACATGGCAGCCCTGCCTGTCCTCAATCAAAGCCAACGGCTGCAATTAATGGCAAAAATTAGAAACAATCACCGCCTCCCCCTTATTATCCTCAATTAGAGCGTACTAATCAAGGCCTGATCGCGCTCTGCTGCTCTCTCCAAACTAAATGTCAAACTTCATTACGGCCTGGCGTAGAAATCAAACGCCCCACATGCTATCACCCTCGCATCGGGAGGCCAAGGTATAAAACACAGTGCCACAGGAAAAGGCTATCTGTGCATTAACTACCTGCGTCCTGATATGCAATCTCAGAGGAGAAAAGGCACTTATATATAAATAACCACATCGCCGAAGAGAGTTGTGGCATAAATGTCTTGGAGGATGGAAAGAAAAAAGCAATGGAAACTTTTCATGGAGGGTTACAGGTGGGCAGTATGGACAAAATAATTGGTAATTAGCGCTGATTTATAACATTAAACTTGGTTGGTAATAAGTCACAATATTGCTCTTGCCATTATTTTCATTATGGATTAATCTCCTGATTATTTTCTAGATGAATGTTCTTTTTTCGCCCATAAAATGTAAGAAATGAATAACAAATGCTATATTATAATCTCCCAGAGCCTTAAAATCATGTTTTTCTAAATGCTAGTTTTGTCAGGCAAACAGTCTAAACCCCACAAGATATTCAATTTACTATCATATATGACAAAGAAAAACAACAAATCTTAACATTTGAGAAGCTGAAACCGGTAAATGTTCGTTAAAAAATGAAATGATTCATCAAATGTTGTTTTGTTAATTTTGTGTTGATCAACTTAATTATTAATCAACTTATCATTTCAGGTCTACTTGCACTTTTTGTGTTTTAATAGAACAAAATTATATAATTAAAATCTGGGACAGATTTGAGCATAAATTCACTTGTTAAAAATATTTTGGCCATGAGATCTGTTAAGATACCTCAATCCTCTGATGACAGGATAATATAATATTGAATTAATTATTGAATTATTACCCATGGAGAGCACTGATCTACAGTAATCTCTTACCTTTGGAGATGACATTATATTACTCACACTTTGACCATGACTTAAGTTACTGTCATCAACAAGCACATCGCATTGCTCATTGACTGTTTGAGCCTCTTGCTTTTAATTCAGCTTCAAAGATTGAGGTGTACCGAGGAGAGCAGGATCTAAACAAGCATCCGGTACATTAAGAATGGGTGTCTTTATGAATGCAAGCAATAGAAAAATTGGGCCGGGATTTAATCAAAAATCTGCGCTCAATATTCAAGAGACGTTACTACCTCTGCTTCTGCCTTTGCTCAATAGGTTTTACAAATGAGGACATTCTTTAAATAATATGGAAATGGTTACCTGGCTAAGATGCATTCATTCTCCACTGAATCATCAATCTGCTGTTTTTGCATCTCAGAATCACATTTTATGTTAACCTGCAACCTTCACCAAGGATAATGGAGTGATTGGGCTTGGTTCAAGTCAATTCAAATGGCAAAACATGAGCACCCTTCATTGTGGAACACCCTCTATTGATTATTGAAGGCACATTAGGATGAAAGATAAGAGCGTTGCGTTTCAATCAAGTTTATGTTTTCTGATAGTCCAGTCACACTTTACACTATAAGCATATTCTGCTGCTGTGGTTCAGATTCTTAAATTGTAAGGAGACGTAAAAACAAGATATGAGAAAGTTTTTGAGCCACAAAGATGTTGTTTCTAGTGTACAGGCCCTTAAACTGTCTGCTCTGACTATGCACTGATTACAGAGACACTCCTTCCCAAGGACAAGCAACATATCTATCATTTGACGTAATGTTTCTACTATTATTTTCAGCTCATTTGCCTCATTCAAGCTCATTTGTGGTTACCTTAAGAGTAGCATGAAAATAATTGAAGAAAATAGAATAATGGAGCAAATTGTGGCTCTGATTTAGTTGAAGACTGGATGCTGGTTAATGGGCTATGTTAATATAGAGGGCTTTTCAGTTTACCAAACATGAAAATGGGAAATTCTAGGCCTCCTTATTTTCACAACACAACGTTTAGGAAATTCCTATTTGTCGTCTGCGTACCGGCCGCCAAACACACAATCACAAACATCCAGTATGAAGATGTATGCCTTTTTCCTCCCACACACACACACACACACACACACACATTGTAATACAGACGCAAACATGCTCCGTGGAAAAAACTCACATACAAACAGCTACACACACACACACACACACAAAAAAAATCAGAGAGAACACACACATACATACACAACACACACTTGCACTCATTTATTTGAGGACCCCACGAATCTAAGTAATTCTGCTTTGGGCATGCTGCTGATGGGAGACAGGGGTAGGGGGTGATGGAAGTGCCTGCGTCCAGGCAGAATTGATCGTTTGGCAGCTCCAAATGAGAGACAGGCTTGTCTGCGGAACCACGAGGGCCGTGCAGTTGGACTCCAGCAGCGCTCGTAAAGTGCGCTCTTTAAACTGCCGGGGCCCCTGGGAGCCCATGGGGAGGGGGGGAGCCGCCGCCGTGCTAATGAGAACTACCAGAGTGCAAACATGCATGGAAATGACTGTTATTCTGTTGATGTGCATTTAAGTGCTTTTTTACTGCCAACCACAAAGAGAGGGAAATAACTGGTGATGAATGGTACCCCCAAAAAGCATTCATTTTCCTCTTCGGAAGAAAAGAGGAAAACAGACGAAGGGGGGGGAGATAAGAGTAAGATGGAAGGTAAAGACAGGATGGGGGGGGTGTGTGTAGACATGCATGGTGAATATATTATCTTACTTCACTCAAGTACAGTGACAAGGTGCAATGTGACACAGAGGCAGTAAGTGGAGATGCATCGATGGCAGAAAGTTAACCTTCACTGTTCCTCTCCTATGAACATGCCGCTTCTATCAATGAGCAGCAGCACAAAAAGGTCACAGCGATCACAGCCCTGATCACCTAATTATGAAAATGAGAAACTCGGGGGAAATGGCACCTCCATCACAGCACACCTCTAGATCAGATCCCTTCATTTTGATTTAATTCCCTCTCGTCTTTGCGGTAGTAAATGTGTGTGTTTCGATTGCTCTGTGCGTGAGATTTAGGGGATGAGAATGTAGAAGGTCTTACGGGCTCCGCTGCTTGTACTGGTGTTGATGGCTTCATTCCACTGGTCGGCGCTGGACACGGAGAAGGAGCGTTGGTGCATGCCGTCTTTACTGCCGCCAAACACCGACCCGCCCGTCTGAAGGGATGTGCTACTGTTGGAGTGAGGAGCGCCTGGAAAATAAGTGACAGACACAAGATAAATTAATCCAGATTTCTTATGTTCTGCATAGGCCGTTTTAATTCTAAACTTGGTCTGGTAGGAATGTTTTCTTTAAAACAAAAATAAGTCTGTAAAGAAGGGATAATGGTGTAATTGAGTTAACAGTTTTTGGTAGTTTCTACAGCAGTGCAACGCTGCTGCCACCTTATTTGTGCACATCCCTCTGTCAAACAACCCCCCTCACACAGACACACACACACAAAAAACCCCTCTCCCTCCGCCTCTGCCTCTAATTAGCCCTTAATTAACAAGATACACTCTGAACGCTAATTATCTCGCCTCATCCCTCTGACTGCCACATCGATCTCCACTGGCGTCAGCAGGCGTTCTCTCCCTAACTTCCAATCAGGCGAGCCACGGACGCCTGGCTCTCTTTACTAATTCATGGGTTAGGCTGCGCCATGTGGGGTCCTTCCCTCCTGTTCGCGAGCAGTCGCTACAACACGTCCTAACTACTCTGAAAAACTCATCGATTCACTTCCAGTCACAGGAGGTGAATCAGATTACCTGCTTAGGCTTTAAAATGCATCAAAGTGAATTAAACTAGGCGATGTAATACAAGAATTTGTTCCAAAATTGCGTGATTCTCTTCTGAAAAATAAGTTTAAATGAATTTAACATAACGTTGCACTATTAAGTTATCCATCAGAAAAGTTAATTTTCACTTTATTTTTCCCTCTTAAAGTTGACACTAACTCCTTTACAGGCTGAACCATTTAATTCTAAAAACAATACGATTTAATGAGATAAATAGACATTTCTTTGACACTGAAAGGTTAAAATTTCAGACGCTTTGTTTTGGAAAACAAGCCATATCTCTGATTTTCTCAACAATGCTTTCTCGTCTTACAGGTATCACACATCAAGGCCTTTTATTTAATAATTACAAGAGAATATCAGTTTCTGATTGAGGTGACAATAACAGAAAATATAGTGTGTGGGTCGTGTGTAAAGTAAACTAAGCGGCACGGGTGCTTGTTAGGATAATATGTCCTACTCATTATCTAGAGTAATAAGTGTATCAAATTCACATAATCATGTCTAATTAGTATCAGTAATTATCTTGTTGGGCCCAGGAATATTAATCTTCAGGTCCCAGAGGGGAGGGAGCAGAATCGCAGCAAGAATGGGAGAGAGAGCGAGGGAATCATGCTGAGGAGCACTGACTAAATTAGCATGCTGAAATCAGAGCAGAGGAGGAGGAGGAGGGGGAGACGGAGCAGAGGAGTAGGGGTACTGAAAAGAAAATGTGAAACTTAGTTTTTTAAAAAGTGACGCATGAATGATACATAAAATAAGCCCATGACTTTGGTAAAAAAAAGGCTTTTGGTTGTTTTAATCAGTAATGAATTTTTAAAAAATGTGTTTATTTAAAAACACTACAGTGTCGTCTTTCTGTTGTTTGGCGAAGACAGATAAATGTTTAATTGCCTTATTGTTTAGAGGTTATTCTTTATTTTCTATAAAAGATCAACATTTCTTTATTTCCAAAGTGTGAAGTTTGACTCTTGACACCTTAAAAAAAGAGACCCAAAAAAAAACCTGTTAGATAACTACAAGGCAACTTCGATTGATATTTAAAATTCAACAATCACGTCTAATTGTCAAATTGGATGCTAATGATTAATGAATTATACATGGCTGTATCCATTAGTCCCCAGAGACCACTCCTGCATAAAGGGGAGGATAATGTAATTACAGTGGAGAAATAATCAGCTTGTGGCATTAAAAGAGCACTGTATTCGCAGCTCCAGCCAGGCCCGACACCAGTGTGTTTTACAGCTTTAGCTGTGGCACTATGGTGGACTGACAAGGATGAACCTGACAACTGCAAATTGAGGTTCGAAGGATTGGATTTAATACTGAATGTTACTGACTTTAGTGATTGTAACAGTGATTTGACTGTCAAATACAAACACATAAAGCATTTAGTGCAATAAATGTTTAGAATCATTAAGAAAAACAATGATGTGACAGAATATTGTGGAAGTAAAAAAAAGTAAGACTGTGAAGGTTACACTATTCCTGTTTGATAAAAGCGCTCTGCATAGAAACATCAGTTTGAGGATTTTCCTGACATTTTCAGTGGTAGAAAGTACATTTACTGTGCAGTCACAATTTCACAATTATAGGGGCACTTTACTTCAGTACTTCCATGTTCAGCCACTTTATACTTCAGAGGGTAATACTAAACTTTTTACTCAAAAAAAATCTAGATTTTGCATACAAGAAAGTTTTTTTTTTTTTTTTAAATATCATCCATTGTTATAGCTTGAACTACCCAACAGCCTACAGTAACAAAAATTTGCTTCACGTCGGTGAGCAACAACGTTACAATTCTTCTTACACCTTTATGCATCAGAAATAATCTAATATTTAATACTGACAGCAACCATTCTGTGTTTTTACTTTCCATACTTAAATACATCTGTACTTCTACTTAAGTAAAATTTTAAAGAAGGCTGTCATAGATGATGAGTATTTTCACATAGCGATACTGCTTTTACTTAAATAAAATATCTTTATACTGTAATTAAAACCACTATTAGCAAATACTGTTCAACTAAACTTAAGGTTATCAAGGATGTTACTACACACAGATACTTAATTACTAACTCCCTTGAAATTCTTATTAAAATTAATGAAAACTTTAAAGTACAAAGCACCATTATGAATATTTCTTGCTGATTGTATCGTCATGTGTATAAAGAGATAACAAAAGCCATATAGTGTGTTCTGCAGGCTATACAGGGCTGGGGTGTTAAGTAGAGGCGATGGATTAGCGGGGAGCAGCGCTGCCTTGCTTCTCATTTCTCTTTAGGCCGGGCCGTCAGTGGGTTGATGAGCCGTGACGAGGCCTGACCCCTCTGTGGGGTTGTTGCCATTATGTACAAGTAGTGGGATAATGAAGCATTCATGGTAATGTGGGCCGGGCTGCACATCATCTGTGGCTGTGTGTAATCCACCAACATCATCCTGACCAACGCCCAGACGCCTCCCCCACCTCCACCCAGACACTGCTGCTCCTGCCAGTCCTCACACAAGTCACTCAGAAGTTCATATTTATACCTGTGTGTTATATATTGTGTATGTATGAAACCAATTTTACTTTAAGTATGATAGCCCTCATTTTATTTGTTAATTTTTTAAATATGAACTCATAACTACTGGTATGAATTTGATGAAATTTCGATGCCTTTTCCTCAGAGATGAAGCTAGTTAAAGCTAATCAAAAAACTAAACAAAGCTCTTGTTACAAACTATGACTGTATAGTGGCTAAATGTTGTCAGGGCATACATGGAAAGATTGAGGAGCAGCTCAGCTAATTTGAAAAAAATAGAAATATATAATTGGACAGCTAAAAATGCTGGATAAAAGGTTTAAAACATCCAGCATCTGCCACTATAAGTGGGAGTAGTAGAAACTCAAACATTATCAAACCTACTATAAAAAAAAAAGAGGCCAAGCTAAACAACAACTTGTATTAAAAATAAATATTCTATAATTAATAGAGTTAAAAGCAGCTTTAAATCAGTTCAAAAAGGACGCATTTGAGCTCATCTGAAGGGGAACATCAGACAATAAAAGTGAGCTGCTCTATAGTATCTACAAGAGGTCAGACTGCACCACTGCTGGAAATAAGAAGTCTCATGCTGGTACTGGTCAGTGAGTATGTGTCTACTGGTTCTACAGTGCTATAGATTAGAGATAAACTGTGGTACAGAGTGAGGAGGGAATGAGCCTTCCTGAAATCTCCACTTCTTCCACACTCATCTCTCTCTCGCGCTCTCTCTCTCTTTCTCTCTCTCTCTCTCTCCCCCACAGGATTGATTCAAAGTGACTGGGCCCATTAATACTTTGATACAATGTATCTGTCGCCGGTGACACGGCAGGATGCGTGTTAACAGGGAAGATCATATTTAAAATGGTTCCGCTCAGCACCCAGCAAAGGAATTAAACCTGGCCCGCTTGGCAAACTCGTGGACGCATGCGTTCTCCCATTTACTCTCTGTCTTCTCAGCCTCTCCTCTTCATCTTCCCATCTCCCCCATCCACTCCGCCCCTCCTTCTCTCCGTCGCTATCCCTCTTCTCCCAGTGATTATAAAGGTCTTTAGATCTAAGGAATGAATGAATTACCAAAGGCACAGACAAGGCTTGTGATTTGGACGCCGTGAATGAAAAATTACCCCTTTGTTCCCTTCATCAATTGCACGTCTAATGAAATCAAAATCCCGATCACATAATCAGAAGAGGGTCCTCCACCCAGAGAGAGACCTGATGTGATTTGTAACCTTTCTTTTCCTAAGTGGAGATTAAGGCAAATCTCCCTCACATTGTTCCCTGATGCACAAATGGATGGCAACTGAAAATCTTGGGAATTTATCATTGAGGGGTATTTGCTGAGAATTGAACAACAGGAGAAAACAACATTGTTGGGTTAGAAGAGAAAACTGGTTTGGCCTGTTTTTTCAAGGCCCATTGTCTGCCCCAATGACTGCCCTCAACCCAGCGCTCAAGGTTAACAGTCTGTGGGATGGAACAACCTCGATCCAATGTCCTCTGCTCTGTAAACTCCTACATCTTTCTGCTTTTGACTGATTAACCCGTTCAACGGTGGCAGCACCTTGGCCAGGTTTAACAGTAACCTGCCTGGACAGTGCTAATGGTCCCTGCCGACCCGTCTTTGGCTCTGTACCCACTCTCAGCCAGTTAGCTTGAGCCTGAGTGATGGAAACACTGTGCCCATTTCACAGCCAACGAAGGACCCCGCCTCCCTCTGGGGATCTCTTTGCTAATTAGTATTAATTACTCTTAATCCTAACCCCTAAATCCAATCACTGGCTTCCCCTCTATGAGCCTGCCAGACTCTCTGCAGCCTCCGGTGGCTCAGCTCGCTGGGAGAAGAGCTCTATTTTTAAACTTGAAAGGTGGAGAAACCCTGGCACGATGCTCAGGACCAAACTGCTTTTTGTTGTTGTGACCCCTGCACTACCATAGAGGAGGGAAAAATAACTAGGTCAGTAGCATAATGGCAAAAACCTAAACAAACCCTAATTGTTGGTGATGTTAGGCTTGATGTTTAAACACATTTTTTTAATTCCCCGTTTAGTAATTTAGAGAATTAATAGATTTTTCATAGACGCTCATTAAGTCATTATTGTGTATACTGTGAGGCAGCTAATTTGCATGAAGTAACCATATAGAAAGTAGATAATTAACCTGTTGGGACCCATTTTTATGATTAATCACAAACTGAGGACATAGAAAATGAGTACAGTAATAAAGGACTAATTTAGTAACCATTACATATCATACCTGTGAATTGTTTTGGGGTTGTACATGAAAAATGACAGATCCCTCTTTACCTACCATGTCCATATGTCCTTCCAACTTTACCAATACAAGTGACTATAATCATCATGTGGTATTCATTTCAATGCCACAACTACAAGAGAAAGAGACACAGTGTGTGTACTACAGGAGTGCAGGTGCAAGATGAACGTGTAGTAAAAAAAAAAGTGGAACCACACCCCGTGAGAACACAGGATATTTTATTAACACTGATGAGAGAACGTTCTGCTCAGCACTTCATTCGGCTCACAAAAAGGTATTTTTATATTTTGTATTGTTTTTGATGACACTTGCACCAATTACAATACACTGTCTCACGTCAGGCTTCTAATTAGCACACAAATTGTTTTCACACATTTCAGCACTTGGCCTATTGTATGTTTTCATGAGTCTGATGAAACACTGAGGAAAACATGTTGCTCTTATCAGTGTTAAAAGATCTGTGATCTAGTGTGCAGTCACAACCCCGAACACTTGTGGTTTGTTTTCTGACCCTAACTATAAAGACTTAACTTGAAGCTAAAACTATATACAAATGTACCAGTCAGACTCCAGTAGAATATCTCAATAAATTGTGTTTGCAGAAATGTCCGTAGATATAAAATAAATATCCTAGATTGTACATTTATCTGTATCTTAAATATGAAAATGCAAAAGAATATTACTTTTATTAGACCTTTAGCCTTATAATAAGGCCAGGAGATCGTACCTGTGCTTCCTATGCCCAGCTGCAAGGTGCTGCGGTCCTTGGTCAACCCGTTGGTTTTGGGACTAGCAGTCGGGGCCACAGTGGCCACCGCTCTGGGGGGTCGCTTCCCGGGAATCTTGACTGTAGTCCTCAGCAAGTCTATCTCTTTCCCATGCACATTCTGCATGTAGTCCTATAGAAAGTGAAAAAAAGGAACATGACAGTAGTTGTGAATTGGTCTGCACACTACTCAAGTAATGAGTCCAAATATTTCCAAATATTTCCCTCAATTCAGGGAAATGATTATACACAGAAGACCAACAACAGTCCAGGAATTATGGAAGAAAAACAAATTAAAAGACTATTCAATTTCCATCCCCATTAGTCACAACCCATCTCAGACCTTCCACTAAGGGTGTGTGATAGTGGAAAAATGATTGTAAAGCCATTATACATCACCTGTGCCCACGCCGTCTCTCCAAATAGCGAGATGTGAGGCTTAATGAATGCAAACAGTCTCATTCTCTTTCAATTTGGGCATTTGATTTGGTTTAAAGCGACTACTGCCCAAATGTGGGAAGCCAAGGTGAAAATCATTGGGCTCAGCAGAAAAAGACCCAGATAGAGGCGAGCTCGGCCTTTGCCGTCCCCCCACCGGCTCCTCTGCTTTATTACCGTGTCATAAAGCACTCATTTCTTTCCCAAGCCTCCTCGCTAATTACCCAGTGAGCGCTCTCATTTCATTTTATTGCTGGAATTAACAGCCAGATCGAAGCGTGCAAAGCTATTAAGATGTGTGATTAAGCCACATTCAATTAGTTTCTACAAACAATTTAATTGATGTAGCAGATAGAATTAACAGAAGGTGATTGTGTGGATGGCTTGGCTGACTGCGAAATTAAAGGTTCCCCTCTTCCACTCTCTCAGTCTGCCTCCCTCCCTCTTTCTTCCTCCCTCTCTCTTCCCCTTTTTCCTTTTCTTACTCCTTCTCTGCTCCGCTGCTCAAAATGAGCTTGGGCTGTTACCGCACTAATGTAACTGTCTCCCTTACTTCACCTCCCTCCGTAAGTCAACAGATTCATAGATTCATAGATTGCCCTGATGACCTGTAATAGCTGTAATGATCAAGCGATAGCCTGTTCAGTCAATTACATACATCAATGTAGCACAGCACTGCTCTACTAATAACCGCTTGTAAATTAAACCACTAACACACTGTCAGTGCAACAAGGCCACACACAAGGTTCATGTCTAACTGTTGGGCTTGTGTTGAAAGTTTGAGCTGGTGTTGCTAATATCTTTAATTTTTACCTCGCCAAATTACCTAAACACCTCTAACACAGGACTGGAGGAATGATGGGAGGAACTGAAGGGATTTCGGAGAAAGACGGGCATTACTGACAGTGGCACCGGGCTCCTGAGCTGTCTGCTGCCAGCCAGCCGAGTGTTTAAGAGGTATTAGCGGCCCAGCGGGATTCTGACAAAGATGGATGTGGGAGGCTGGTCAGGCTCTGCTGCCATGTGGTGAGAACTATTATAAATACAAGCCAGCGTGGAGTCTGGGCGCGGCGGGCACGCAGCAGCACAGCCTTGTCTCCATTACCCGGCACCGGGGATGGGCACCACAGGGGGGCAGAGATGACCACCAGGACACTGTGTTTCTTAATACTAAGCTTAAAATCACAGGGTTAGCTAATATAGCTATTATATACAGTGATAAGTCTCTGTAGACTTCATAAGCCTATATGGTTGTAATCCAGTTCACTACAGCAGCGGTGGTAAATGTAATCGCATCAAGAGAATCCTGCTCAGCGGTTCAAAAAGTCCTACATTAAAAAACCTCCAGCAGCACCCTCGAGTACAAACAGTAGTGTAACAAACACATAAAGCCGATTGGAAAAGAAATGGGAAGGGAAGAAGGGGGGGGGTTGATACTCACATGTAAACTGGGGTGGTAAGTAAGGACGCCATTATCACACAGTGTGACATATTTCTTTTTCCACTCCTTGTTGAGGGATTTGCCACTTCGCTTAAGAAGGATTCCCTGTAAGAGACAAGGCATCACGGTGAGCATATGCTCTTCTCAAAGCAGCATGGTGGATGATATGAGCCATTATGGATGTTAAATACCATAAAACAGCATTATTATTGTTATTACAGATTTGTTATGGCGATTACAGCTTACAGCATTCTCATTTGGCAAGTCATAAAGCAAACAAACATCATTTTAAGTGTTTTCATACTTAGAAAACAGTATGGAAGTGATTATATATATATAAAAAATATGACAACGCAATAGTTATATGTACTTAAATACCCCTAAACTTTCCTTCTTTATTCTAATTTGTTGGATGAGAGGTTTAATGATATGTTAGTTTTTCCGATTGACCATTTGAACCTCCAAAGTTGGCCAAGTTCCTCTGGCACAGAGACCATTCAGAGAGAGAGACAATCCAATTTGCCAGACCTCCTCCCTGCATTCATACACATAACATGCTGAACTCTGGAAGACCTCTCAATCCTGGGATTAGGGAGTGTGATCTTCCCCTCTTCAAAGCCCACTCAGCTCTTATTCTATTCTACTTTATCTTCTGGGGCCTTTTAGGGCCTCAGATGGTTTCCTTATCTGCTGAGTAAATCCACTGGTAAACAATGCAGTTCCTCGGCTGGAGGTGACCAAACGCTGCTGAGTGCAAGGGCCAGGAGGCTCTTCAGGGTTAAATAGTGAGGAGGGGCCCGCTTAATTAGGGGATTAAGCCGGGGCAATGTTTGTGCTTTTACAGCCAGGGTCTGTGTGTGTGTGTGTGTGTGTGTGTGTGTGTGTGTGTGTGTGTGTGTGTGTGTGTGTGTGTGTGTGTGTGTGTGTGTGTGTGAGCTGAGAAGGGGGGTTAAAGGGGTAGTATTTTGCTAGCCTGGCCCATCCTGGAGGCTTTAATCCTGATTAACACATCAGGCAGAGCTGACCCTCGGTGACCTGGGCACCAGGCTGTTTGCCGACAATCATCCTAATCCGAACCCTGATTCATCTGGGGAGGCGAGTACTGACTGCTGGCTGCATGCTGGGATTCAAGAGTTTGGCCCTCTTCATATCTTATCAATATGCTGCCTGTTTATGGCTTCTCAATGGAGCACGACCACAAACATTTTCTTTAAACTGTTAAATATACCCTTATTTACTTAAACTAAATTAAGTTACATTACAGGGGATGGAATCATACTTTGTTAATGTCTTCTAATTTTCTAATATTTCCACTTTTATCCTAAAATCTTAACTTATAATTAAAAAGTTTTTTTGGGGGGGGACCACTAAGAAAACAAACAAACATCAACACTGTCTCCGTGTTGCTGAAGCTTAATAAATTCAACTGAACAATTAGTACATTAAATGTCATGGAATTTCATGTATATGTGTGGAGCAAAAATGAAGTATATTTGTCTCATATGTTGTGTATATTCTGTTATTAATTGTGCAATAAAAAGACCTTTGTAAAAAGTAATACAATTAAATTAAGTATAAATGTATTTCTTTTATATCAGAAAGCCTTGGTGAACTATTTTGTAACTATTGATAGTTCTGATGATTTTCTCAGGAAGATACAATGTTTCCTTAAATCGATAAGTTGCTGACTGTCCAGACTTGTCTCAATCTAGTCAATATAAGGACTGTAAACACTTTTTAAATGGCTCTCTAATCATACAAAGTAAATGATCCAGTCACAGGGCCTCTGGCGACTTTATAATGCATGTTTTACAAGCAAATATGTTGCTCATTTCGTGGCCTTACTGAAGCATAAATAAATCTATACATGCAATCAGAGCGGAGCTTCATATATTTATCAGAGCTCAAGAGCAGATCAATAAAGATACTGAGACAATAATGTGAAAATCTTTACATGTGCAGACTAATATTTTTGTTTTATTTATCTTTCATAAAGCACGTTACTATCAGTAATCGGAAGCTTGAAAAATGATTTGAGATAATTCATCATAATTGTTGAATCGTTTACCGAGTTGGATTGAGCGTGTGATAGTTTGACATCAAATAGCAGCATGTGTGGAGCCCTGTGCTTCCCTACAACACTGACACACACACACACTAAAAGATGAGCGTGTTCAGCCTGTGCGACATAAGGAAACAGGCCGATTGTCAGACGCACTCTCTGTGTCCATACAATTGTCATATCTACACAGAGGAGATAGTGTCTTTCCCTTCTTTTGTCAGACAAGCAGGAGAAAAGCTGCATCCTGCCACTGTGGCTGACTGATAGGCCGGCCCTTTGTGAAAGGCCTTTGGAAGGGGGAGTGTGTGTTGGTGTCTGTGTGTCGGGTTGGGGAGTTGGGGCGGGGGGTCGATGATGGGGCAAGGATGCACTCACTGCTGAGGAACTGCTCCACAGCAGTGAGTGCATTGTTATCCTCACTCAAGAGTTTTATAGATGGGGGGGCAGAAGAGAGTAGAGGAAGGGGGGGGGCATGTGGTGTGTAATTTGGCCCTATGGGGTGAGGGGGAGTGGTAATTAAGCACACATTGGCACTTTGATCTCCTTGATTGTGCATTTGACTAGCCTGGAGATCAGCTGGTCACACCACTAACACCCCCCCCCCCACACACACACCTCTCTATCCCTCCCTTCACATCTGTATAGCCAAACTCCCCCCTTCCAAAAAGAAATAATAAAAAAAAAATCCTTTGTAAATAAAGAGGGGGTTGGCTTATCTTGTCAAAAGTAGCCACGGTACTTAGGGAACCCCGGAGTTTAGAAAGGAGCGCCCCATAATATATTGGGTAAGAATGGGAGAGTTTACAGTAAAGATTGCTCAGAGGGGATTCTTTCTAATCTCTGAAAAACAAAACAACCTCGTGCTCACCTGCACTCATCGGATTTGCCAGCTTCTGCAGGGAATTACACTAATCTACATTAGAAACCAAGAGACTTAAAGAGATGAAACAGAAATGACATGTTTGTAGAATGGTCACCATGAAGTTTTTTATGTTGTTTTGAGGGGGCCATTTTCAAAGGTTAAACCATAATGGAAAATTCTGTTGTAGTAATATGTTTGGATTTAAATAAATGTAACACAACGTAATTTATTTTCATTTTATAATAATATGAAATGTTTGTATCTACTACGTGAACATCTACCATCGGCGAGAGACCGATCGAAAATTCTCTATCTGTTGAACTGGTTCCCCCAAAGCACTATTTTCTGATTGAGCGAGGGGGTTTGAAAAGCGTCACCCTGCCATTATTTCAGCCTGACCAAAGCCTGGGCAATTTTCTTCCAAAGGGAATGAGAAGGCCCGGTTCAACATTAAAAAAAAAAAAAAAAAGGACATTATCTTCCATCATTTGCAGGTAAAGAGGATAATATAAGGATGCTGACCCATTTTCAAAAGCTCTCATATAATCATGAGTGATTACTAATCAATGTGTCAATTACTTGTCCTTCAGTTACAGTCGGACCTTTAGAAATGATCCTTACTCAGATATGTAATTCAGTGCTCGGCATCCAACTAGTGCTTTAAAGCATGAATACATTAAAAAAAAGAAAAAAGAAGATAATAAAGAAAATATAAGAAAAATAGCAAAACTTCTTTCAGATGGGATAAAACTATAACTATGATGTCAGTGAGTATTTAATGTAGCACCATCTAACAGATCATGAAATTAACCTAAAAAAACAAGTAAAAAAAAAAAAAAAAAAAGATGTCTGTTGAAAATGAAATGAAAATTTCAGCTAATCATAGCTGTCAAAGTTGATTATGAGGATGTGCATGAATGGAATTTTAATCAGAAATACTACCCACACACATTTATGAGCAATAATAACAATTCGACTGGGACCAAACGTTTATATATTTAAAGGTGCAATCCGTGATTCAAATGCGAGATTATTATCACAGATGATCGTCTCCTAAATTGATTGACGTGGCTTTAAATACACAGACTAATGCTGCGCAGTAATGCTAAAAACAAAAATCTACTAAAATTCAGAATCTAGTTACCTGAAGATGTGATTAGTTTGTTAACATTGGCGATGTCTGTAAACACACAATTAAATCATACCTACATTTTCAGTTATGGTCATTCGAGAAACAGACATAATATTTTCATTATAAGAAAACACATGTGAATTTTCCTGCTATTAATGAGGTCAGAAATCAAACCTATATTTTAATTTGAAAGGTGATTCACACAAATAAAGACATTTCTTTGCTAATAACCTTTCTGATGCTGAGTCTGAAGCCCCAGCCTTCTTCTCTGCTGAGCTACACTTGTACTGGCATTGAGATAGTTTGTTATGTTGTATTATGTCGCCATCTAATGGCCACAGTAGGACATGACTTAGTCTAAATAACATTGGTTAATTTATAGCTTATCGGCTGTGATTAAATCTCTTAAACACACACCCTGTCGACATTAAAACTGAAAAGGATATCTAATGACACAAAAACGGGATCATACTTACCCAGGTGAGTATGAGAAATGTAGGTTAAAAATTAGGAAAACTGCTTACCTGTTTGATAGGTATGGCCCTTCCACTGCCTATGCTGTCTGTTTTACTGTCAACGCTCTTTGCCTGTTCACTGGCTTTCCGTGACTGCAAGAAAACAAGAAAGTCAGTCAGAAACTGAAATAAAACACTGATGGCAAAGCAGAGTGGGAGTTGTGGGGTGTGAGGTGAGGCTTTTGGGGCGTGGTTGTGTATGTTGGGGTGTGTGTGTGTGTGTGTGTGTGTGTGTGTGTGTGTGTGAGGGAGAGAGAGAGAGAGAGAGAGAGAAAGAGAGACTGGGGGTCAGAAGGGGTGAGGAGGGGTTGGTCGGGGAGTGAGGATTTTGTGTTTTGAGCATTTGTGGAGAAACTCGACGTTGCAAAATAAAAGTCTCAAAAGAAGCTCGAAATTAACAGACAAGCAGACCAGCGTAACAAACAGCAGTAACACCGACGTGCAAGTTCAAAAGAAAAAATTAAAAAAAGAGACCAAACCAAGACCACACTAGACACATCTCAACACAGAGGAGACCAAGGACGACCACACATTGAGTCATGACTCAGCCCTGAAACCATTTGGGGAATCCTTTCCTCTGTTTGAGACCCAGAGCGGGCCCTTAGTGGACCTGCAGTATACCAGTGTAGCTTCAGCTGTGCCTTTAGCATAGTTGCACTGATAAGGGCTTTTGTAGCACTTTAAATACGTCAAAGTTCATTACAGGTTAAAGGGAGAGAAGGGAAAATGGTTATTTTGAAAAGACTTCAGTACAAGTAGCTTCCTTCGACCTTTGACCTGCAATACCTGGTAGGACATGAAATCATTTTGCAAATATCAAACAATTTAATTGTCAAAAAAGTAATTAAAAAAACCACATGAACATTTCAAGTTTCTGGACGTGCCTGTGTGGGGCATAAATGGTTAGACAGTAAATTGAACCTTCCATGGACATAAATCATTTAAAAAGAACTTTCCCACCCCAAAAACAAATAAAGAGATGAGATACAGGCAGGGACAGACATGAGTGTGTATGGTCTCACTCAGAACATGAGAAATGTCCAGTCACCAATGGAGAAGAGGTAGAGTCTGAGTTCAAGTAAACCAACTCTGGTGTTTATATTTTTCCAACATTTTATTTTTTTTAATGATGACTTGTTTAGCTTCTATACAGACACCATACAAAGCAAGTCACAAATTCACTTCAAAATATTCAACAGATTGAGCCAAACATTGCAGTTCCCACAAAATATAGGATGGACAATAAAGGCATTATTTCATATACTCCTTATATGTATGTACTTTTTATAGTGTACCATTGTAAATAAAATACAATACAAGATATACAGCAGTCTATATTTTTGTCAATCCGTTCATGATAGAAAAGCGATTATGCAAGAGTTCATAATCTCTGTACCAAACCTAAATTGAGAAAAATGAAAATAAATAAATGAATAAAAAAACAACTGAATGTGCAAAAATAAATAACTTAAAATAAGTAAAAAGGGAAAACAAATGTTAAGTTTAACTACATTCATACAAGTCGGTGCAACCCAGTTTCATTTTGTTGGCAACTTTCAGCATAATATCTCTCTTTAATACCTTATAACCCTCACACTCTACCCTGACTTTTTATGAAGGCCTTCATAAAATTACCCGAAAATTACTCTGATCTAAAATACCTCTATAATACATTTTTACCACATTTTCAATTCCATTCAGTACTTCAATACTCGCTGGAAAATAAGAAGGAACCAAATAAAAACGGACCAAATGAATGTAGAAAATCTAAGGAAGAACAAAAAAAAAACAACTTGGCACCTCTAGTCCTTGAGTCCTCATTTATGGCAAAAGGCAGTGTGATGTCATGTAAGGAAAGGTTGTGTCCTTTGGGCGGCTGGGTAACAGTTCCAAGAATGACTTGACTGTACAGCGTGTTTTTTTTTTTTTTTATATGGTATGTCTGAATGAGGATTTGGGAGGGGGTGGGGGGTGGGGTGGTGGGGGGCGCAGGGCAGGGCAGGGATGGGGCATTTCCAGAAGAGTCACAACCAAGGTGCTTTCACACCTGTACTTAGAGCTGTCCACTTGTGATGGGATCACCCAAGACACATTTTAATGCCAGGTGTAAACAGGGCCTACCGTGATATTTGACAGTCGACTTTGAGTGCACTCAAACACTCAAATGGACTCAACTTTAGGCAGCGTTAGACGCAAAGTCCTATGGTTTCCGTATAGTGCAAGTTCTATGCATTACCCCGAGTGTGGTAAAGCACGAGGGTAAAGCAGCGACAAACTGTAAGTCCTCAATAAATAATCTCTTCTCTATCAGGATTGGCAAAGCAGGGGGACTCTTTTTTTTTTTAAACCATCATGCTCTTCTAATTCGGAAGGAGTTGGAAAGCCCTTTTTGTTGAAGAAAGGTTGGAAACAGAAGCACAAATCTGCAAATATTGAAAAACAGTGTCAAATGGTTATTTTTTTTTCTCGTTTGTTTGTTTTGGTTATGTTTTGTTTCATACGTGTAGATCCAGTAACAAGTCAAGGGACTAAAACATGGAATGGGAAACACCAAGTGGCAGACATTAATAAATGGATTAAATGAATTATGGTTGAATGAGTGGGATGGAATTAAGTATAAAAAATGCCTAGTATTCATCTAAATTCCTAAACAGTGTGCTTTTCAACACAAAAAGGGACGGACAGCCTGAAGACATCAGGAAACCACGGACAGATTACAAAACAGATTGTTTAGAGTTATTGACCATGGAAGCACTAGGAAAGAATAATGTGTACTGTGCTGACACCTAGTGGCCAAGGACAGTTATGGTAAATACTGGCTTGAAATGATTGTGGTTGGTGAAATTTGTGAGGGCGGTGAAAAGACGGAGTGATAAGATCGTCTGTAGTAAAGCTTTGAGTTTTATTTACTTACTTAAAAAAAACTAGCCAAACCAATGTTTTATTAAAAAAGATTCACTTATTTCCAGGAGATTTTTCTATAAACTGTCATTTTAGTAATCAGATTCAATTTGGGCCAAAAAAAATCTGAACCCAGAAGTAATTATTTTTACTCTCCAACACTGTTAACTCAATAAACTGCACATTGCCACAGATTTTTCATAATTTCAAGAGTCCCAATGCCAGCGCCACAGATGTGACAAATATTACTTTTATATTGAATTACAACTGGACTAGATTATTTACTTGCAGCAAATTTCTTCTCTGTAATATTAGAACAAAATATCTTTTCTGTAATGACTAAAGTGAGTCTGATATTGATCTGTCGAAGCTTGTCAACTGATGACATTAAGGCATATTTTCTTCCATTGAGTACTTCTCTTGAAACTCCCAAAATCAACATTAAGTGAACTACTTACAGGAGTGTGGCTTAAAAAACATGACAGGCTTTCTGAATGGCAGCCCGCTGTCTATGAGTGAGTAGCAGGTCTTTTAGAGAACTAACACAGATATCAATTTATTTTTAAAATGGACAAAGCTAGGAAAGGGACATCCTCGATATTGTTGGGTTGATGAAATATTTTCTCTTTCTGCTGTTTTGTAAAATGGCAAAAAGGTTGGCACTGCAAGTCTTCCTCTCCTTAGCCCATCGCACTCTTCAAGTGTCACTGAAGAAATGTCGACATCGCCCCGTTAACTTTCCGTCCCCTCCTCCTCCTCCTCCGCTTCCTCCTCCTCCTTTCCTCCCTCGCCCTCCCTCCTCCCCCCCTCGGCTCGCTGCTCCTCAGAAGGTCATGAGCTGAAACTCCCGCTCGGCTTGCCACTCCGGCACCCACACTGGGTAGGTGGCGTGCTTCGGCATCTCCATGACGCGGACGGGGAGAGGTTCATTTCTCTGGTGGACATGGTTAGTCACTACCTAGCAGGGGGGAAGGGAGACAACAAGGGGAGCTAGCACACAGCCTGTACTGCTCGGAGGCCACAAAGCCTGCGGCTTCCCAGCAGCTGGGGTAACAGGGTGAAGGCAGTAGGAGGAAATAGAAGAGGAGGGTGGGGTGGGGGGGGGGATAGATAGGGTGGTTAGAGAAGAAGGTAGTTAGAAAGAGATGGGGGAGAGAAGAAGAAGGCAGCAGGTAAGAGACAGGGGTCAGAGGGCAACAGAGGAAAGAGGTGAAATCGAGGAAGACAGGTGGAGGAGAAGGGACATATTTGAGGTGGGGGAGGGTAAATGTACCAGGGAGGAAAGAAGTAATCTCACATGGCCTGATTTGTCTCATAAAGCTCACAAAATTCTGGACCAAAAAAAACAAAACATTTTTGGATAACTTAACCTTCGGAAAGGCTGACTCAGCCATTCAGTTAGTTCGAAAACTTGGCTTTTTTTGGAGGTACAAACAAGCTCCCCAGAGAATGATTTCATTGATTTAAAGCATAACAATGCCCTTTTTGGTAGAATTTCTACAGACCTCCCTAAGCTTGAAGAGGCAGAGGTCTGGCTACGCGAGATTAGGAAAGGCTTAGCAGCAAAGAAGAAGGCTGGTGTAGGAGGGAAGAGAGAGGAGGAAAAGGGGGAGCAGGCTGGGGTAGAAGAAGAGGGCAGAGGCTACAAGTAAAAGACAAGCTTAGGACAGCTAAGGAAATTAGAGTGGTTAGTGCACACATATGCTATTGGTTAGAGCAAAGGGCAAATACGACAGGACATGGGGTAAAGAGCAGGCAGACAGGGGGTAGGGATACTGGTGTGGTAGTGAATCTTGGTGGTGGTCGATTTGGGCCAGAGTACATGTAAGTGGGGTGAGGATCGAGGGAGTTATCTACACTCAGCGAGATGGTTAGTGGCTGGGTGAGCGGTTCTATCTGGAGCTGGGGTGTTGGGAGGGTGTGCGGGCATGCGTTCATAGCAGCGTGTTAACAGGGCACTGGCTGGCTCGGACTTTTAGTTTAGCTTGGTCGGGCAGGAGAAGCTGCATTGGCGGTTTGTTGCGGCTGTCTCTCCCGAAAAGGGAGGTCACTGCAAAGAAAGGATCTAGTAAAAAATAAGAGGGGTGGGGGTGGGGAGGGTCAAAGATTTAGACAGTGCAGAGGGCCTAGTTTGTCATGGGTGAGATGAGAAACTTAATCCATGTGCACTTACTACATCCAATTAAGGAAAGAAAAAGGACATGAAAAGAGTTGACGTTTTTTTTCCACAGTGTTTATCTTTGATATTTGCTTTGAAAGAAGGTTTTCTTGGAGCATTTCAAGGGATCTATTATAATTTCTATTTAGTCTTTTTCTCCTTTGCCCATTGTGCTGTGTGAACAAGACGCTTTCTTTGCCTGCATCGGAAGGCAGGAGAGGTGGCTTTGATGCATTTCGAGCTACCTGTCTCCCTCTGGTGGACAAAGTGTGCTTGGCAACATGCCTTCTAGTAGTGTGAGTGGGTGTTGCTTTGCATCAGCTGTCGCATACTTACTGTGAAAATGTTGGAGCGGCGCTTTGACTGCTTGCGGATGGGTGTGGGTGTGTTGGAGGCAGCAATGGTCTCAATGCGCATCTCCCGCTGACTTATGCTGGGGGTGGAGGGAACAGAGGAGGAGTAGTCGCTGAATGCACCCCCACCATTGGCCGCCTGGGGAGCGAGAGAGAGATTAAGAGGAACCGACAGAATCAGAAGAAAAAGGGGGAGGAAAAGAGAGATTGAAAGTCAGACAGTCAGAAAAGGAAAGGGAATAAAAACAATAAACATACAGGTCAGTTTAGGGTACGGTAGATTTGATTTCTCTTTATAATGAAAGAAAATAAGTTCTGATTATGAGAAGAATTACATAAACTGAGTGTGCCAGAGATTTCTTGATATAACATTACAAACCGCTTATTTATATCAAACTAACTACATGATCAGTAAGTGATCAACAGTCTGTCTTTGATGATTTGGATCTTACCTGGTTAATGTGAACAGAGGGGATTGATGCAGTGGGGACTGATGAGTGGCTGGGAGAGTTGGGAAGAGACTTGCATGGACCAATAGAGAGTTGCTGCTTTTTCCTCATGGCCACAACCTTCTGGGCAACTGGAGAAGAGAGTGGCAAAGACACAGTAACAGATTGTTCATTAATCCTGTCAAATTCTTCCTGATATGAATAATTTCGAGTGAAAGGAGTTTGCAGAGTTTTGTGTGGCTGGTTATGCAATAAGAACATGGACACCAGATTGTTAGTTATGTTGCTCCATACTGAGACCGACAGTACTTTGGTGAATGACAGTGGATAAATGTACCCAATATGAGCAAGAAGAAAAATGTTTTTCAAAAAACAAAAATCTTCCTTTGAAAAGTACAGTATCTTGGTTTCAGAAAGACTTGAATCATGACTTTTGTTTTCATGACAAAGCAGATGGCTGTTCAACTGATGAGTAAAAGCCACCTTGCAGTTAGAAAAAGTATTTTGTAAAGTGTTTCATTGTTTAAATGTATGAGTCTGTGGTGATAGCAGACAGCAATTCTTAGTTAAAGGTCAGTCTTCTTACTTTGGTATATGCTACTCATTTGTGATCACTTAAAATAAACAAATAACACATTTTCCTACTTAAGTCTAGTAACTAGCCATGCAGCTTGATTGTTTAAGTAAGTTTAGCTTTCATTTGGCCTCTCTCTCTCTCTCTCTCTCTCTCTCTCTCTCTCTCTCTCTCTCTCTCTCTCCTCTCTCTCTCTCTCTCTCTCTCTCTCTCTCTCTCTCTCTCTCTCTCTCTCTCTCTCTCTCCCTCCCTCCCTCCCTCCCTCCCCCCAACTGGTCGAGACAGACGACCACCCACCTAGAGCCGGAGGATCTGTCCTAGGTTTCTGCCTTTTAACAGGCAGTTTTTCCTTGCCCTTGTCGCCAAGTGCTTGCTCATGGTGGTACTGTTGGGTCTCTGTAATTAATGTTAAAGAGTTCGGTCTAGACCTGCTCTATTTGAAAAGTGTCCTGAGATAACTTCTGTTATGAATTGGCGCTATACAAATAAAATTGAATTGAATTGAATTGAATTGAATTTGGAAAGGTTATGATGTGTCTGTCGCAGACATAGAGAATGTAGTCACACATGGCTCATCTGGAGCAATCGCTTTTGAAACCAGGAGAATTTTCCCCCAAAGATCGGTTTGTTTGGGGTGTATGTGAACACGGCAATCTTTGTTTGTGGTGTCAAAGCAAACAGACCAACCACCAGTATTTTGTGACGGTATACAAGTGATTTCAGCACTCTTTCCTAAGCTGAACCGAGCCATGTATATATTTATGCAAATCATTTGTTAACCATGGTAACACGTATGCATGTCAGTGCAGGTATTTTCACTGATTAATAAATCAAAAGCTGGTAAAAGTAGCCCATTAAAAAGTGCATGACAGCGATCCCACAGTTATAAGCCCCGAATCATTTCTGTGCAAGATTGTCTCCTTTGATCGTCTTGTCTCTATCACTTAGTCATTATTCATGCCATGGCATCGATTTGTAGTTCAATAACAGTAATAATGATATTATGATATGATATTATAATAAATTTTTTCTTTGTGAGCTCTATGTGACACCAGTGAACATAAATACACACATCAGAAGAATTAAAGTGCTGCATAAACTTTTGTCAGTCACCAGAATTTGATTTACCCAGAATGCTTCTGATGATGCTGAATAATAATGGCCCAAACTATCCAAGGACGTGTTGCCTGTCACTCTGTATAACTTCATGTTTACTCCATGTCGCAGTTTTTTTCCCTTGGTTCCCCAATAAATGAACCAAACTACAGGTGTGAATACACCCTTAATTAATGAGACGATCTGTCTAAAACCTGGTGATACCAATTCAGCATGTGACAGTTAGCCTGCATAGGGAGTAGGGAGGGCTTTTTTCCCCAGTGTCATTACAACATCATCAAAGATATTTAAATCAGCCTGATTTTGTATGCGAACAGAACGCATGAAATTTTATAATTTTTTTAAATGACCACTGCAACCTTAATTTAAGACCCACCCACAACTAAAGGCAACTATGGCATTATTATGCAGGTTTACACGTATGCAGTACACAGTGTTAGGACATGTCAATAAAGTCTTAATAAAAACGCTGAAAACAGAAAGAATACAATTTTTCTTGTTCCTTTATAAACACAACAGTAACACTAGAATAATCAAATAAAGCTCAACAAAGTGAGCAAAACTTATTCCAGACAAAGAGGCATATGAGCAAATTATCACAATCACCTCGGGCCATTTGTTCTCCAGTCTGGTAATAAGCAACATCCTGCAAGGTGGATTATATCTCCTGGGGAAAAGGTACTTCTATTTCCAAGAAAAGTAATCATACTAAATGATAAAAAAAATTCTGTCATTCACTGAGCTCTACAGACTGATGTTACTCAAATGAGACTATTGTCACCATCTGAGCAACCTGATTTGCCATACAATTGGCGCAACCCATCATTTAATTCACTGCACACTCGAGTGAGGGACTGGGTGGATGCGAGAGGGAGGGAGGAAGGTGATGTTCACGGCTGCGTGACGTGAATTAGCACTGAGGGAAAGAGGGATGATTTGAAGTTGCGCTGACAGCTGGGACCATAATGCCCGGCTGCCTGCTGCAGCATGGCAAATAGAGAAAGAAGGCAAGAGTGATACAGAGCGACTTCTCCAGACAGCCAACACTCCTTCATCTCTTTTAATTATTTCAAATTGGGCTTCAGGAAGCAATTAAGGCAGAGAGGGAAGACAACGTGCCTGTGCATCAAGTCACTGAAATGCAAAGTGAACGTTGTGTTACATATTCAGATGTTTTGTGAAGGGATGACAGGCTTTCAAAGGAGCTGCAGCCTTAGGGGATGATGTGCCAGGGATGAAGCAGCCGAGTTTCCAAACGACAGTTTCATGACTTCAATTATGGATTCAGGGAAAAACTCAGAGTTTCCAGATACTTTTAAAGAGGGTATTTCACCATTTATACACAACTGAGCATTAACTTGTCTCTAGCTTAGAACTCCACATTTGTATGAAACCCTCCATCAACTTAGCTTCTGGGATGAATAATTGTCTGTTTGACAATTGTATGCAATTTAATTAAAAATGTCTGCTGTATCATTAATTTAGGTGAGCCTGTTAATGTTCCACAACTGTTCACAAAGTATACTGCCAATCATGGCAGCTGAGCACACAGCATAAAGAACGTTAATGTGTATGTACACCGCTCCACGTGAGTCAAGCATGCGCAGGCATTTATGCATGTTGCTAGCAATAACTCATGAACAGCATGAAGTATTTTTCCAATTATCCCGAAGTGAAGAGAAAAAAACCCAATCATAATTAGTAAATTTCAACACAATTTCTACTCCTGTTGAACAGAATGGCACACAGAAATAGAAAATAAAAATGTTGATCCAAGATTACTGAGCTGACCTAATGTTTTGTCAAAGGGCCAAACTGATGAAATATCTCACAGTTTTGGTCTTACCCAAAAAAAGGCCCTCCGTCCTAGTTGAGTTTTGTGATCATTCACATAAAAACGTAGCTGATTTGTTTGTTTGAGAAATTGCCATGGAATCTTTCCATCAAATTTGTAAGATTGGAAACTATACTGAGATATGGCGGTTTACATGTGAAAACTAGGGCTGCAACCAAAAAATGATTCATTATAGATTCATTTGCCAATAACTGCTTCAATAAATTGGGTATCATTTTGTCTATAAGTATATATAATAGATATATAATTCAAATACGCCCATCACAATTTCCCCAAGCCCAAGCTGAGATCTTCAATTTGGTTGTTATGTCTGACAAAATATTCACATCTGAGTTGAAACCATCACTTTTCCGTTACAATTGACCAAAAACGTTTAACTGATTATAAGAATAATTCCAGATTAAATCAATTGTTGCAGCTCTAGTGAAAACAATGCCAATCAAAAGGGAAGCTTATCAAATATGTCTCATGTGCCAGTAGGGGTAAACTAGTGTGCTGTAACTCATCATCATGCTCAACATACACCTTCTACTTCCTGTATCACCCATTTCCAATTTTTGACAACCCCTCTCACCGTCCTGGAAGACTCTCTCCACATTCAGGCCATAGGTGGAGCAGGTCTCATAATATGTGCAGCGCTTCAGGTCGTTTGACAACTTTCTGGCCCGCGAGTCATCAATCACTCTGGGGTTTGCAGCACTGATTGCATCTAAGAGAAAAGGAAAACATTATTTAAACATGTAATCTAAATGATAAGGCTGATGAAATTATATTCTGTATTTTTTGTTATTGATAACATTCCACAAAAACATACCGAAAAGTCACAAATACTCTCTAGATCACACAGACAATACGGGTTAGTATAGTCAATTTTCCATGTGATTTAAGGACAATAAGAAAAATATAGAATGTTTTTACTCCCTTTAATCATATTTTCTAAGTGTAAAGACAATGTAAGAACATAGAGTTCTTCCTGTGTAAAATGTATAGTTCCTTTATGGAGGAAGCAATATCTTGACAAAACATATATATCAGATGTAGTGCAAGCACCTTGTGTTCCAACGAGGACCATGGGGACCTCAGCTGTGTTCCTGTAGCTGGATAGGCGCAAGAAGTAATTGTAGACTGTCTGGAAGCTGATCTCATCCTCCAGGCTAAAGACGAAAACCACCGCATCCACCCAGGCAGCAAACTGAGGACAGAGCAGAGGTGGTACATGCTGAAGCATTGTGAAATATAAGCTGTCTCATTATTGCACAAAAACATTCATACAACAGATTTTTTTTCCCCCTGCTGCAGTAAAGACTCCGTCTACATGGGAGGCGCTTTCTACCAGGTGAGCTGCCATGTGGCCCATAGGACTGTTTTCACATTCATACTGAAAGTTTCTCTGTGCTCACATTAAACCTGAGTTTAAGAAGTGTGCGCACCAGCTACTACTTGGCATTACAACTAGTTTGGAAGTGTACACAAGTGCAGACTTTTCAGTTTCAGAAGTGAGACATTTTCTGTGTAGTATTTCAATTTTTGGAATATACAATTTGCATACTCATAGATTCTACATTTTCTTACTGAGGGAGAAGTAATAGATGTAAATGTAAGAATTATTAACAAAGTAATTTAACTTTTTTGTGGTAAAAACTATATGACACACAATTCATTTGAGATATTTCATGTCTTAAAACGTGTTTCTAATTACTATAGCTTGCTCTTATAATGGGTGAGTGAAATAGGCTGCTTACATGCAGACATTATTACTGTTAAGTGTTGCAGGCCTTCTTTTGACTTAAGCTCACAAATACAGACAGAAGGGGGCAGTGTAGCAACAGCCATAGTGTCTCACTTTCAGGCAAAGTACCAGCACAAGGTGGAATGACAGTGAATGGTTAAACACTATTACTGCATCCTTATCTGTTTTCTGTATTGACACTGCTATTATAATCTAGGAATCTTTGTATTTGCTACGTCATATACATTCATAATCTCTGCATAGTTTACGATCAAACGGAGGAGAACAGTTTCCCTTGAGCGGAGGAAATCATCCTAATCACCATCCATTGTAGGAAAGAGGCTAAGCAGAACTCATAGTAGTAACAGTGACAATCAAGTGATAACGATTCCCCCGTAATGCCCTCTTCTTCATTCAGCTTTCACATCTTGCCCAGACCCCCATAGGGAATGAATGGCAAATCAAACCTCCAAGCCACAACTCTGCTCAGCCTCCTGTGAGTGTGAACATAATGGAGGCCTTTAATTATGCCACTAATTATACAGACAGCTGACAACTCAGCCGAACTCATTTCTATTTCCTGATCTCGCTGAGCGTAATGCAAGCGTAATTCCGAGTTTTGCCATACCAGGTTATCAGTAGCTGCTAATGGAAACACATGGTAAATTCACACCGAGCTTATAGTATGTGACCAGAAACACTGATGCCACAAAGTAAGTCTGTCGTACTCTCAAGTGTTGGGGTTGGTTAGCAATTTACTGAATCTGCTTATTAAATCTGAATCCTCTTATCTAATCTATTTAGATTTTGTGAGAACGGGAACAGAGCGAGGTCATAAAGGCTACAGTTGCTAGTTACTTGCTGATTAAATACTGATTTGAAATTCAAAACAAGCGATTACCAAATAAAATACAATCTCTTGTTCGTTGATTCAGACCATTCCATAGCAGAGGTGGGATTCGAATCTCAAATTTGATGACTTCTGACTCGACAAGACAAGACAAAATCAAAAGACTTGCTAGCCCGTAGTTTAAATAGTATGTTAAAGGTGTGCCACGTTTACGCTATTCATTCAAAACCCGACAGCATCCAGTCAAGTTGCACGTTTTTATTTTTTATTGACCGCCAGTTGGAAAAACTATGTGTACAAAAACTACGTGGTGGTCATACATTTGGTCAAGAGCGCAGTATGTGTTGAAAGTCGAAACTCAAACTTTAGGACTTGGGATTCGAGTGCAACTAGACTTCCTTGTGACTTTCAAAACAATGACTTGTTCCCTCCTCTGTTCAGTAATATATTTTTCTAACAACTTGAAAACAGGACAATCCAGATACTGTGCAATCATGCAAAAGCCAATGTTAGAATGTATCCATGACTGTTTGCCTTTTGAAAATCCAGGCTGGATAAAGTAGTATAAAACACAGATGCCCTGTCTTTAGTACATTTAATTCCTGTAAGAGCTGTAAATGGGAGGTAAAACCCAACAATCTCTGGTAAAACATAGCTCTAGAGAAACTGAGGATAAGAGTCTGATGCCTGCTGTGTCACTACACAAGGGTGGATTACCGGGAAGCACTTCCTCAGGAAAAGCATAAAACAGTGACAGAGTATCAGTATTAGATTATCAATTGCACGTTCTCTTATGAAGACTTGAAAAAGCCCACTTTGGATGAAACAGTGGCTCCATTACTCTTCATATTTCACATACTAATAGAACGATTAGGTGCTGTGTCCCCTTGACCACAAAAATGATTTTGGCTGGGCTTACTCATTGATCTGTTATTGCCCCTTAAGTGCTTTTGGTAGAACAACCACAGAGTGCTGTCACACTGCTCCAAACAGTCCTGCAGAGATGTAATGGTCTGTCTCTAAACAGTTCCTGTCTGTGTGACATTTTACAGACAGCTTCTGTCTGACGCATCTTGCAGCTTTGGAGCAAAGAGACATTTTGTCAGGATCAACAAGTATCTTACCTGCAGTTCTGGAGGCCCTCCCTCATCTCTGATCAGAAGTAGGTAGCTCTGTCCATCCACCACTATTTCTTTCTTAAACCGTCCACCTGAGGAAGAGACAAGAGTTTGTTCTGACATCATTCTTGTGACATGTTAAGTCCAGTCTAGTGCTGGCAAAAAAAAATAATATTGAAAAACTGTCTTTCACAGGATATAATAACTTATCACTAGGGGTTTCCTCAAGCAGAACAGAACTGCAGACACATTTCACACTGAACTATCATAAAAACAATGAGAATGCACCAGATAACCCAACTTTAATATTAAAACACAGTTTGACATGGCTCGTAAAAGTTTGGTGAGATGAGTTCAAGTTCAGTTCTCAGTTTAGACCTCCTGAATGTGTTGCTGCTAGGATCATATGCCGACAGGAAACCAGGTCTCTCTGGAGCCAATTATGTGGGCGAGAAATTGCCATTTAGCGTGTCTAATGCACAGCTGCTGAGGGAACAAGTTCAGGGCCACTGTCACTGTACTGCCACAAGTCCTGGAAAGGCCCAACAAACATTATCAGACTGAACGTTCTGTCTCCATCACTTCACTGCATGTGCTACACTGGGTTCGAAGATTGGTTTTCACAGCATTAACAGAATAATTCATTATACTTTGCAATGAAATGATAAGACAAGGAGAATAATTATAGAAAAGAGACTAGAAATGAGTGGGAAGGAAGTGATGTGAGATAAAATCAGAGGGAAAAAAACCTCGTCTTTATTCTGAGCTGATGTGCCTCAGGTCACATTATGTCCACAGGATAGTAGTGAGCTAACACTAAGTCCCCATGCAGCCTTGAGTTTCTCTCCCATTTTCTTAATTTCTTTTCTAATACAAATGCATATTCCTTGCTGCTAGCAAAGCTGGCTGCAGATAAAGAAGAGACCAATGGGAGAAATACGCAGTAAATTAGATTTTGCATATCATTTGAATGGTTTGCGATCCTGTGGAGATTAAAAACATTCAAATGAGAAAGTTGTGAGGCTAGAGATGTCCCCGGGAGTGAAAACAGTGCCTTATGAATACAAAAATATGCTGAGAGCCTTTTGACAAAATTGAATAATGCAAGAATTTGAAGGTCTGTGAATGATCATGATGAAATGTATCGAAGAAAATTGATGCTGAAAACAGAAGATGTTCACGTACAATAAAAGTACACCTGTTATCAGATTTTCTAGGATTTTCATAACATGAACAGATATGTTCAGATTAGATAATACAGTGTCAGAGATCACGCTGTTCAACCAGCGTAGCAAGAACTACAGATCTCTCATTATGAGGAGCTGTAAGGGAGATACAGTATCCGGGCCCTGTAATTTTTAATAGGCGGACAGTATTCCTGTCTCAGCAAGCAATACATATCCACTTGAGCCATACTTCCACCCTGTTAAGTCCACTTCAGCCCGCTTGGCAAATAGGGGATTCTCCCAGCCTTTTGTACAGGCTCTCAAGCTCTGCTGGATGCTGGTTGTGTAACAGAGAGAAATTCACGTACCACCAGCCAACTTCTTCTTTTTCTTTTAAACTAAAGTCACAGAGCTTTGGAGATTCAGACAAAGGACTGAGAAACTATGTGTCTGTGTGTCTGAATCCTGTTTACAAACGGGGGAAAAAAGATGAGGAGGATCTTGTTACACAGTGAGACTGGATCTGAACGACAGGGAAGACCAAAGATTTATCACAATATAGAGTTTGTACGGAGCTTGGCAGCACGTACGTACGCCAGAACAGACTATGCAAAGTCTCTCTGAAAGAAAGCATACGGCTCTGGTGAAAACATGGATGGAATTTGAAGTAAATATCTCAGTTACATAATCATCCAGAATGCTGTTGTCTTTATTTAGAGCCGAGCCAATACAATGCATCCAAAGAAAAAAGCCTGTGCTGTGAATAAATGAAGCAAACTCTCATACTCTCCTGCGCTGAATACTTCTTCTTCATCATGATGACAAGTAATTGAGAATCACTTGAATCTGTTGCTCAACCTTCCATAAAAAGAGGCGACTAATAACCTTGCAGACAGCCTACAGAGAAACAGTAAGTTGGTAGTCATGGTTAACACGCAGCGAGCATACTCTGCTTACACGGAGGCTTAGACCTTGACACAGAGCCACAATCCAACGGAGCTCCATCCGGTGTTGCCATGGCAACACACCCCAGTACCTTTTTTCAGATATCATAGCAAAAGCCCAGGAACAAAACACTGAAGAAACAGCCATCGCTGAACCCTTCCTCTGCTGGGCAACACTTCTGCAATGTAAATACCCAATCTGGAGTAAAGCCAGTTGTTAAGGAACGTAAAAAACAAAGACAGCCTGAAGAGCTGCTAATTGTGAGACAGGTATGTTGTATCACACAGCGACTCGCAGCAACGTAAAAGGGACACATGCACATATCTGTGCCGACATGTTTCCTTGATTACAGCAACAATACTCGTGTTTTTCCAGCATTTCCGCCATTGATTTCTCAAGGACTAATTAAGCAATGAGGATTTTTCTCCCTTGGTGCAGAAAAATGCCAGAAAACTAATTATGCGCTTCATCCTCTCTCATTCTCATCCTCACTATAATTACACTAAAACGAAACACTGCAAACCCCTCAAGGATCATCAGTTAACTTTGGGTTTACAGACATCTTTCTGTATTTCTGACAGGAGGACTAACCTTTCAGGCCAGAAGGGGGCATTCTCACTAGGATTTTATTGGATGAATGGAAGAATATCTGATTTTCAAATCTCAAAGAGTAAATTACAATGGCGACGGGTCCCATTCATTTCTGCAGATAGACCCTCCTAAATCAGAATCAGGTCTATTGCCACGTTAGTTTTTACGACGTTCAAGGAATTTGCCTTGGTGCATAAAAATCACACAAAAATAAAGTACTTTTTAAAATTAAGATGGAAAACTGACTCATTCTCCATCAGGATATTCAGGAAGTGAACTGTTTATGATTTTGTGATAAAAACTTCAATTTACAGTCATAGAGAAATGATGGGGTTCAGTTTTAACAATGAGTAATCTTCACAGCCCTAATTTACTGGAAATGTTATGCTTTGTCATTTATCCCGCTGGCTTCAGTGACGGAGTAAAAAGGAATTTATAAAAATGAACCCAGCAAATTATCAGTTATGGCATCTGGAAGCTTGATATAATCCAACACACAACATTTTAATACAAACTAATTAGAAAAATACTCTCACAAAGCAAATCAGCACCAAGCTTCAAATAAATATCCTAATATGGTTATCCTTCTGTACAGTTTAGCAATCAGTGCCAACATGCTTGACTTTCTTCTTATGAAAAACAAAAGAAAACTAATTTACCAGCCAGCAGGTTTTTGTGTAATTTCACTTATCAAATGCTTTTGAAACACATCATATTGCCATCAAGCTAATAAAAAGGCTTCTCTTCATTTGTAAGGCTGACACCATCCAAAAGGGTTTTTAATAATGGGCCTATGTCAGCCATGTATTTTATATGACAGGATGTAAGGTAAATCAGCAGTGTGACATTAAGGCCATAAGTGCCACAGTGAACATGCTGCATTGATCTGAATCTTTGTGATTATCTGACATGTTTATAATCACCTCCTAACCCACACTTATCCAACAGCAGACTCTTACCTTCAGGAGACTCCTCCTGCACATATGTGCCCGTCAAGTACCGGTGGACCAAGGCAGACTTCCCACTGGACAGATTTCCAACAATGCCCTGCAAGGTCAAGAGCAAAATACCGTGATTATTACTGACAGGCATAACATGACAGGTACAAACGACAAGCATATGTAGACTTAAAGGACCGTAATGGTGACCTGACATGAGATTCTCAGCACAAAGTCCACGTACTTTGTGTGTCCAAAGCTTTCAACCTTCCAGTCCATTTTTTGTCGAGCTGTTTCCAATGTCAAGACTTAACCTTCAGTCATAATGGTGGTTTTAGCCCATTATCTAAGAGCTATATCATCAGAAATTAAACATTTTCCCATGGTCAGTATAAAAAGAATAACAGGCAGAAGGTCGCCGTTTGGCTGAGAAGTATCACATCTTAGTTGTTTAAGTCTCCTTGAATGCACCACACAGGTTGTCAGTTCACAGCAGAATTACCATTAAAGCCCAATAGATCAATTGCTAAATCTAAGGGTGACATGCTGGTTATTTATTACAACTATATTGATATTGGTATAGAACATGAAATATAAAATAATTATTTTGGTATTTTGCCTCCGAAACATACTGGTTTGTCAAACACTGACGAGTTGACTTTATTTATTAACTGTAAAAAGGAATATTTGTCAAATCTTAGTTATGTGGCCCCATTCTTTGAAACTAAACTATATTAGTATCTGCTTCATAAATACAGCATTGGTTGGGTTGTAATTACCATGCACAGTAATACATCTTTCACACAAAATAGAAAAGGTGAATTTCACTGTGATGGATTGCATCTCTACAGGTAGCTTTTAATTCCTTGCATGCATGAACTGAAAACAAACTCCTGCCTGGAAGGTAGAAAGTCAACCAAAAAAAATAATGAGAAGTTCATATGGTTTGAAGTTAAGGAACAAACCCCCGAAAACCACAATTTGGTCCTTTAGGCAGGCTGTGTGAGGCAGAAACATTACAAGGAATGTCCTCATAATATACATTGGTTTGGTTGCCATCTTTCCCCTGCTTCCTCTCCCTGGTGTCTAGACCAGACCTAACTACAGCGCCTTCAGGGTGATGCATGGCGGAGGGTGGGCTGATGATGCCAGCATGTCTGGGAAGAACAAAGGCTGCAACATGCCTCATCTCCTCCCTCTCCTCCTCCTTCTCCTTTACCCACCATCGCCCTCTTCTTCTTTAGATCATTAGTGGGTGTAAGAGTCAGGTATGGTTCTAATTATAGGGATGTTTGAGACGCAGTAGAAAAGACTGTTTTAAGGCCTTTCCCAGCCTACCCTCCGTATAACTGAAGTATACATAGACCACGAGGTAATCCAGCAGAATAAAGTATGAATAAGCTTTAAGTTGGCAAAAGTTGTAGGCTGTGTGTGGTGAAAGCTATGAGTCAACAAAAATCGACTTTGAAAGTACCACTGAACCAGTGTTCCTGCTGTTTTAACTGTTCAGCTTTGTGACCTGCTGGTATATAGCCTTTATGAAACCAAAAGACTGTATCAGCACTATTCCAATACAAACCTTTTATTCTTCTTTATAGATGTTTACATTTGATCTAGGAATATTAAAAAGTGTGCATTTGAAGATCAAAAGAAGCCAATAAAATAAAGATTTGACCACAGTTTAGTGGCCACCAGGAAACTACAATACCAAGGTACAGCTCACTGTTGTGGCAGATGTTTTCTCACCCTATCATCATTTCAACAGGAAACATTTTGACCCCAGTTCCTGTCATTATTACTGTAGCACGAAAAATGATTTTGCTATCATATTAAAAAGCTTCTGAGACACACAACACACTTCTTTTCAGCATGACCTTGTCACTGAACAGCAATTCTTTGAACATTTTGAAAGGAATGATAGATATTATGAGACATTTAATTCAGTCTTTCTGGGTCTGTTTAACAAACCCCTGCATGGAAGCTGCCAATTAACACCTTAGAAACATTAAAAAAAAGGAAACAGACGCGTTTAAAGTGTTTGAAGCCAAAAAAGCAAGTTTGTCTTTGAGCTCCCTGTGAATTCTCCCCTTTTTATCTCATTGAAGTTTTTCTCTTTTGCAGAGTGCCACAACAATGAATTCACCTAACACGGAAATATTGTATCAACTGTCAGAACGGTGGAGTGCAGTTTTTCAAGGTTGCTAGTCTTTACGGGTGGAAGACATTAAATCATGTGAGGATGTTAGTTGTGCATTTGGCAGTGGCTGTGTGTGTGCTTCACTGGCTGGTGGGATCAGACCCAGGATGTGTCACTGGTCTAGCCCAAAACTGTCACTCATCTAACGTCCTGCTGCAAGCCACCCTGTATCTCCATGCCAACGCATCTCATTAAAAATCACCCACTACGCGCCAGGGAAAAGTCCAGCCAATTTCTCAACTGTTCCCTCTCATGTAAAATGCAAAACCAGTATTACATGGACAGAACATGCTTTCCCACTGACATTTGAATCTATCAGTAAGATGAAACCGAGTCAACAGAGGGACTGTTAGAACAACAAAAAGTTACTCACCACTTTCAGCTCTGGCACTGACCGACTCAATGTCCATTCCTGGCTGTTGACGAAGGAGTCTAAAAAGAAAGAGATAAAAAAGAAATTAAGTCAAGCAGCACTGACAGGTAATCTGTCTGTTTGTGTCCCATTTGACCCCAACTATAGATAATATGGCATTTACAGTCTTTCCCATTTCCCATTGGATAATGGCAAAGTGACTTTATAGCTACAGTTTATAGATTGTGTGCAACAAGTTTTATGGCAGACTGTTCAGCTGTCATATAGATATGCCAAAGCCTATCTACAGTCTGGTCATGTAGTTAGTACACGATCGCTTTTTTGTGATAATCTTTTAAAAGGAATGTTCACTGTCATGTCAGCTTATTCTATAATCTGTCATATTTCCTGCACACAAAAAGATCTGCAGAGCCATGCTGTACCAAGCTTAGTAAAGTTAAGATGTAGTCTTTTAAACTGGCCTACTTTGACCTTTATTTATGCCATAGCCTCAGGGTGAAGAGCAATTGTTCTTTGTTGTAGCTTGTTTTCCAATTTTCTATGAAAGTAAACTGAACATCTTTGGGTTTTGGATAGTTGTTTGAACATAAGTAATTTGAATTATGTCAACTTGGATTGTGGAAGATTTGAGAATCAAGAAAGTAATCGACTGATTCATTCTTAGATTAGACCTACATCTAAGAATTAGAGTAGAACTAAAACACATTTTACAACAGTCAGTAAAGATTTCTCTGTCTCCCCGACTAATTTGCTCATAAACAGTTTTGTTTATGTATTTACAACTTATAAAACCCACACCTCAAAACACTCAAGAAGGAATTGTGAAACACCTATTGCAAGTACAACCTATGGAGGCTATTTCACTATAAGATTTCAACACAGTGAATGGGATTTAGCTAATCCATTTGAAAAAGACAGCCATTATCAGGCTTGATTCAACTTGTTTGGTTTTCCAGTGACATTTGGAGACTTTGACTAGATAATCACACTTTGAAAAAGGGCAGTGGGAAAGAGCACTATGAAGAACAATACAAACTCTCAGAACCAAAAACACAAATGACAACTACACAAGCTGTGCCTGTTTCCCACAGAGATGGGGCACACAACTATGTGTCATAACAGCTATTAGAACAAAGACCACCTTCCTGTTTTGGATCATGGCTTTCTCACCATCTGAGCCCCCCAAGAAGCAGATACCATCTCTAATAAGGGGGGTGTAGACTCTCTGTCTCCAAGCAACAAGGTGTGTAATACCAGGTTAACCCCCCCCCCCCACTCCCCCCCCCACTCCCCCCCCACTCCTCCTCATGTCTAAACCACAACAATCAAAGTGTTCATACACAAAACAAGATGCCATTATTACAGTAAGCCTGTTTATTGCAGCAATAGTGGTTTCCCTTTTAGCCCAAGGCGATTCTAATATGAGAAGAATGGCAGCACTAACATTAAGGTAACCACTGTCACTATAAGATACGTTTCTATTTTCTCTCCAAAATGTATGCTAAAAGAGTGAATGACTCATAGCTGAGCAGACCCCAGCCAAAAATGCCTTTAACTATTACGAGTAAAAAAAACAAACAAAAAAAAACCTCAGTTAAAATATTTACTTATTTCCGTCCTCCATTTTTACAAAGAGCCTTGTGCTGCTCTGGATGTCTCACTTGTTGTGGGAGAGGACAAAAGTGCATCCCTAACAGAAGGGCCTTTCATCGAGCATTGTGTGGAGCTGAGTAGTCTTTAAACAGCACGCCTCATGTTAAGCCCTCTCAGTGTGGGTTTGACATGTCAGAACATGAGCAAAGACACCCATCTGATTCAGTTTTTCAGTGCAGGAAACAAAATGCAGGTCACAGCTCTCTGAGACAACATCAGATAAAGGTTGTTTCCTTATTTTCTTGGATTTCCTGTCATTTTGTGCAGGCCTATTATTTCCAGTTGCATTCTTTGTACTTGATATGATGATTTTTATTTATATTAGGTTATTTGTCACATAATTGGAGGGTTGATAAAAAAAGGTAAGAGTCACAACTACCAATTAGACAAACATTTAAAAAGGTTCAAGTCTTTACCTCTTGCAATACAGAGTAAAAAATGCTGCCAGATGCAGAGATGTTATCCTCACATATTCTCATTCAGTCCACATAATCAAACATTAAAAGAAGGGACACATTCACAGAAAGGCCAACCCATAGACAACCATGCAAGAAAATTAAGTGTGTCATATTCAACACAGAAATGGAGTTGTTGGACGCTGATGAGCGCTGACTTTTTAGAACAGCACACTGCCTTATTATTAACCAGAACACCACTTATGCTTTCAAGGACATAAACACACTGAAAAGAAGAGGAAATTAAGAGCTTTTACACAAAATTGGACAGGACCTAACACCTGTGCATTTCTCACAACAATAAACTCTTGTTTAGGAAATCATCTCATATGTTTAATCACCCAAAAAAAACTCATTACAAATTATAACAGAGACAAGATGCCCGACTTTTGCCAGCCTTAGAGCACATACAGTACAACCAGTGTGGTTTCCTGCTAAAAAAAAAAAAGCCCTAATTGAATCCATGTGCTCCCTCTTACGTCATTCTTTAAAAATGAGCATCCCCACATTACTGTGTCCCAGAATGCATATGGAAACAGAAAGCCCCGGCATTTGTGATGCTTAGAGAGGACACCGGTGTCTTTGTCTCTGAGAGGAGAAAACTGCGTTGCCAGCTTGTTTGTTAGGTTTTCACTTCACTGCTCATGTCTACTCAGATAAAAATGACCATTCAGTCTGAGGGTACTAGAGCACAATCACCCCCCCACTTATTCCATTTCATGAGAAAAGAAAATGCAAAGAGAGCAAAAACCCTGTGCATTTGGTTGTTTGGGTGTGTGTGCATGTGCACAGCATTTCTACGTGCAGTGAATCTGAAGTGGTTTTTGGAATGAGAGAGGACAACCTTGAGGTCTAAATTTCCACTCTAGCTCTGACCAACTTTCCAGTCGTGCTTTCCCACCATCATAAATTACAGAGTGAGAATTCAGCTAGCAATTAGTATTTCTATTTCCCTTATTTGCCAACCTCATGACCAACCGACATTCCCTGTCTGACTACTTTTATCCTGCCCGTCTTGACAAAATGGTCCTACATCATCTTCCTTTTGTGTGCTGCTCTCCGGAGCCATTTATGCAGCGAACAACTCAGTCAGGGCTCTTATCTCTGCTCCTCTGAGCTCCCAAACACAAACCTTTTATTTCTATCAAAGGAGGTAAGTGACAAACACAATCAGCAGAGAACGAGGTAAAACTCTTTATGCCATGCCAATCTAATACCATCTGGATGGCCTGCCCTACTTAAAGCTCTTAAAGCCCTGCGTTGTGTGCAGACAGACATTGATCACTTCCACAAAAAATAAATTGGACATCCTGGTTCAAACAGGATTCTTAACATGAGATTTGCAAATTGGAGATGTCTTGCAGTTCAATGCCGAGGTTGACTGACTCAATTTGTAGAGTAGAGAGAGGAATGTGTCAAATAAAGCTTATATATAAGTGAATAAACTGATGGAAACAATCAACCGTGAATTAAGGAGAAAACTGTCTACAAAGTGGTGGAAGATCTACAAATTACAGACCCAAACTCAAACTTGGAACAAACAACAGCTGACTTGTAGACCTGTTGGTGAAAAGCTAACTGTGTCTTGAACAGCAGGACACTGCTCACCTCCTGAACCACAATCCTGAAGAACAAAATGTACCCTCCGTTGGGATTAGTAGTGGCAGATGCACAAATATGAGTTATATTCAGTTATTAACAGATTTCCCTCTGCTAATGCTCAGACTGTATCACTGAGTGATTATTTAATAAATTGCTGTCTCCCTTTTTCTCCTTCAGCAGGTGAGAGGGAATTATCACATTGCTTCGGTTTGTCCCAATTTCCTTGAAAGGGTCCATTTGTCTTGAACATAATCACCTGCTGGGAGTTTGGCTCACCCACTCCTGCAGGTATGACTAGAACAAGCAAATGCATTTTTTAAATGAATTTTCAATGAGCAGATTTTGAAGAAGGCAGACTATTTCCAACTGCAAGTTAAAGTTGGTGCAAGAAACGTTGGCAGCAATTCACAGGAAGTGGTATCAAATGATACATAGCAAGAAACGAAAGGAATTCCATCCTTGTGAATACATTTTTTGTCAGATTCAAGATAAAGGATCATACACTGGGGATTTTCTGATTGTCAATAGGTAATAGGCAAGTCAAGGCAAGACAGAATAAATACGCATCAGTAAGCACTTTTCTTTCTACTGGATCCTGCAAACACCGTATATCGAGACTTATTACAGAATTCAATCTACAGTCCCATTCCCAATATTTCAACCTAGATAAGTGCACTGGTGGTGACCACCCAGGCCCCATGACCGGCCACCCCTCCTCCAACCCAAAGACCCCCAGAGAGCCCCCATCAGCACATGGTTCACTGATCACTCATGCCTCCACAAGCTTGACAGAGTGGCTTTGTTCATCCACAGGTGGGGGTGGGGTGTACACCTTAAACCCCTCACCCTGTACCTCCCTTCCCCCAAACTTCACTCAAACACAAGATTTAGAAGTTATCATCAGGAAGGTGTGTGCACTTCCGTATGTGTGTGTGTGTGTGTGTGTGTGTTTAGTTTGGGGCAGGGCTTCAGCTTTCTGGATTTAATTCAGGAGCAAACACTTAGGCAGGTAGCAACAGGCGCAGAGTCCCACCCAGGGCATTGAGCGCCTTACTTTACTCACACTGATTGGCACACCTACATTCCTACTGCCTGACTGACTGACTGCAGTGGAATAAATGGACAAATATCACTTGACACTACAGTACAGGAACAGGTATCCCTGGTAACATGCCATGTGAGAATACAAATAGACTGGAAGCACAACAGGGTTGACCTCAGGATCCATTACAAGCGTTATGCTAGCATGAGAATAGTTCAAAGGTTGGCTTAATGAGAATGAATACAGGATATGTATGACCTGACATTCGTAGAAGGCATTAAGTTGTCACGGACGACTAATTAGGTCTTCATCTGAAGGTGTGAAATTGGAGCTTAACACACAAAACATAGCAAATCACAGCTATTAATTCAGATAGTTACAAATATTTGCCTCTCTCGGCCTGCTCTTCCAGGCAACAGGACAAACACACTCCACTGTCAGAGTTAACCTTTAAACACTGTGCTTAAGTCATCTTCTCTTCTCCCCATCATTATAGCATGTAAGCTCTCTTAATTTAGCCCTGCTAGGCTGCCAAATGCATCCCCATTACAGCCACTAACTGCTTTAATGCTACTGCTTTAAGCTGTGTCTCTGTGAGGCCAATATACAGCATTATCAAGAATCCCATGTCCTGTGTCTGGGTAACACAGAGACTGTACTGGGACTATGCTATACTACAGTGACACCAGTGTAAAACAAACCATTATAATGTGTTCTTACTCTCACTGGTGAGTTTAGTTTATTTTACTTACCTATTCATTTACTGAACTTGTAAGGCAAATGAATTTGCTGTGTAAGTGCCTACACACAGGCGGTTCACACATGAAAAACACTGGAGAAATTAAGTACCCAAAATAGAAATTCCAAAAGGACTCTCTGAAACCAGACGTTTTTGAATGCCATCCAAACTCACAATTCCCCATGTGTTTTTCATTTGCCTGTCCTTCTTAAAAAAAAAAAAAAAGCGCTTCCGTGTTTCTCTTGAGCTGTAACTTTATGTGCAGTGAAGGAGGGACTATAAATGGAGAACTGAGCTGGGAAATAAATTCAGTAATCTTGCAGGTCTTACCTTGACCTTTGTGGGAGTCAATGCCTGCCAGAGTCTCTATGGCGACTGGCTGTGACTTATTATCCCCGGCCAGGGGATATTGGCCAGTGTCTTTGCTCTGGGACAGCTGGGATTCACATTTGCCACTGTATGGCTGCTCTTTCCTCCTGAAACGGTTGGCTATGAGCTGCCATATGCTTGGCTCCTCCTGAACTGGTTTGGAAGACAGTTTTGTTGGACAAAGGGGTACCTCCATTACCTTGACCTTCCCCTTGCTGTGGTACTGAATGTACTGCATGCCCCCATCCTCAATCTGCTCACTAGAAGCTGGAAGCATTCTTCCTGTGAGGTACGAGAAAGGCCGCTGAGGCATTATTGTCTCCTCAGATGTACTTTTAGTTCGAGTGCGCTCCCTTGACTCCGTTTCAGACCCTGTAGTAACTTTGTCCCGGGGCCGAGTCCTCCTGATTCGCAGACTAAGGCTCCGTCTTAAGGAGCTCAGTGTACTTTTTGGAGCATCCGATTTGCTGGATTTGGGAGAAGATTTTTCATCTTTGTCACTTTCCTTCTCCTTGCTCTTATCTTGTGGTGTTTTCCCAAAAAGCCTCCAGCGGAAGCCCCCTTTGAGAAAGCCTCCTCCATCGCTGCCTGTGTGGCTGCAGTTCCTCTGGCTGTCTATCTCATCATCAGAGCCCCTCTTTCTTAGCTCCAGTACTGTCATACTGACAGGCCTGGGCTTCAAGCTCCTCTGGCGGACCCTGGGGGTCACCTCTGCAGGGGCTGAAGGCCGCTGAGCCACAGCAGGATTGAGGCCATCCACAGCCCTCAACTCAGCCTTCCTGCTCCTGAACTGCTGGTTGTTTTCTAAAATGCTTGCCCTTGCCTTGAAGGGGAGCTGGGTCTGGGGGTCCGACAGGACTGCACCTGGGCCTGCCACCATGCACACACTCCTGGGCCTCCGCAGCCGTCTTTCTTGTTCAGGTTGAGAATCTCTTTGTTGCTTGAATGAGTCGCCATACATACTCACCGTTTTCCTACCCAGCGGAGCTTCATCCTGACGTGACCTTCGTAACACAGCCCGAGGCAGAGAGCTGTGCCCTGCAACAGTGCCATGTTCCCCAAAGACAAGCCCTTTAGCATGGTCTGTGACAGGGCATAATGTTGAGCTCCGAATGTGTTGTTCCTGAGTGTCTGTCTGAGCAGATAGCTCTGCCACGTCTCTGTCTTGCTGTGAGGAGTTACCTGAGTTCTTGGAGGGCTGTTTCAAAAACCTGTCTGTCCTCATTTTTCCCTCCACCTCCTCCAACTCCTCCTCATTCTCCTCCACAACTACCTCCTCTCTTTTCCTCCCAGCTCTACCTGTGCAGCTCAGGGAGGGCCACCTGTCAAGCTCCTGTCGTGCCCTGCCCAGCCTGGGGCTGTTCTCCATTGGCATTACGCTAATTATCTCTCCTCCTGGTTGGCAATTTTCCACCAGGGTGTGGGTGACCTGGCCCATTCCCAGCCCTGACACCGGCGCATCTCCCTGTGTTTCTTTCAGGATTACAGAGATGTGGTAAACCGTTTTCCCCTGCTGCTGTGGGCCAATAGCTGTACTCTTTGGGGTCGCATCCACAGTCCCACTGCTAAGGAATAGCATGGCACTTTACTAACACTGATTCACACACACATCCTTAATAAAAAATACAAGCCTGCAGCACAAGCCAATGCTCACATTCTGCCCGGGAGTTGTTGAGATTCAGCTCATAAAGTTCTTCATTTGAAGATTAAATTCCTATGCCAGGCATAATCCTTCACCTTTGACATGGGAAAAAACTTCAAACAAGCTAGAGCAAAGCCTCGCTGCCACCTGCATCCTCTGGCTCCTTTACTCAGCAGACTCACACAGGCATTTAGATGGTAGCTGCTTTTTCCCCACACTTTGTTCTACCTGTCCTGCACAGGCAGATGAACAAAAGAAAATCAGGTTATCCACTGCTTGTTTTGCAATAAAGTCATATCTGTAATAGCTGCAAAAGTTGCAACTTAAAAAAACACTGAATCATCCTTCTTCTTTGGCAAGTTACGATCTGTGAGCAATCCTTGTTGTTGGCGGTGCAGACAAACCCCTTAATCTCTGAGCTCTTGCCATGCAGAGCATGAGGGAGTGAGTCTCTGTTTGAACTTTCAGCTGCCTTCCAACCCCCGGGACACATGGAAAACAAGGAGTGGATCCCACAGGCATTAAACACGCCCTCCGGATTTCTCCAGAGCTACTTGTTACCCCCAAAGACATAAACAGACAAAAGTGAATATGAGATTGAGAGAAGACTGTTGATTGCAGCAGTGTGTAATCAGCTCAAAGACTACCAGCCATGAATGGACACTGTGTTCTGCTGACTAATGCCAAAACACAAAAAGGGGGACAGTTTCCCATATTTAATGGAAGAGAAGATAATGTAGTCAATCACAATCACCAAGTACTTTGTTAATTAATCCACATATCAGTGACCAACTTGTATTAAACTGAAGTGCTTATACTGCTTAGGTTGAACAGTTTGCAGCAGTTTGGTCAAATTTGATAAGGCAAAACTTGGAACAATATATAAAAAAAAAAATCCTGCCTCTCACTACAGGACCTAAAACAACAATAAACGTAACCTGAGTTAGTAACATGGAGTATCCACACAACTACACATCACGCTTCCAGTGGCTCCCACTACACAGCCTACACACAGTGGGAGAGCTTAAGCTTAATGGACCAAACACCCTTTCCAACATTTTTCTGTTCCAGTTTCTCATTTTCCAAGGTGTGGTGCTCTATGTTGCATTAGTGAACTGAAGTGGAGCCATCAAATATATAGCAATGTACTATAAAGACCGTCATCTGAATCAAGCCAGATTTTACCTGCTCAACTCTGCAGCACTCTAGTTACAGGGCTGGAACACTGCCCCTTTGTGGTTGAAAAGAGAAAAATGCTGGTAGGAAACAACTGGGGTAGGAATAGGAATAACTAACACATTTATATCAGTTCAGTTAACATTAACATTTGTATAATTTCCTTTTCAGTGTTTTTATGACAAAAGATCAGAACAATCCTCTCTATATTTGGATATTATACTGAAACCTCTCACTAAAACATTTCCTGTTTTACATACAACCACAGAAACAGGGGCATGATCAGAATTTAACACAACTGCTTAAGAGGATTTTTGGCAGAGAAAACCACAGTACAAAAATGGCAACACTGACGGACCATCGTCTACGGGGAATCCACTATAGCCATGACTGTCATTTTGGGAAATTCAGTATAACCATGAAGCTGAGAGTTGCAGTGCAAGCATCACAACAACTTTGTAATAATTTCCTCAGGTTAAAAAGGAAACAAAATGCTCCAAAAAGACATAAGTTTAATCTTGTCTCAATCAAGGTCTAAAGCCTTTTCTTACCATTTACACTACGTGTGATACTGGAGGTGTTTCTTGGTGCATTTTTCCTTTTGTGCTCTTATCAGCAGACTGAGTGGTGTTAGAATGAAAACAATTGCAAACATTTAAGGTATTGTTCAAGGAAACCCAGTGCTTTACTTTTTAACACGCACTGTAACCACACATATACACAATCAGGGATATCTTGACATTTCTTATAAGAGTATTAAGTTACCAGTGTCAAGATGCCTTGACAGTGAAATTAGGTCTCACGTTAAGCCATCAAAGCTGACTGTGCTGGCCTTTACCTGTGTCTAGGAAGCAGGGGTTTGGAATGATCTGAGGCTCATCATCAAGCAAACAGTCTTTTTCGTTCCACTGGATCTGATGGTCTTGAGCTCGTCTACGACTCCCAAAACATAGCAACATGGTCTACCTTTCACCTCAAAAGGACTTCTCCATGACTCAAAATATTGTCCACAAAAACTCCAGGTGCCTGAAATATTATGCGTCAGTCCAAATTGTTGGTCATCTTCTCATTTTTATCTCCTCATGGGTCTTGTTTTGCTTCTATATCAGGAATTGCTGTGAAAATCGCCATGCAGTTCAATTCTCAGCTCCAGCATGTTAGTCCTCAGTCACTTTTGTTCAGAAAAATCCTCTCTTTTGTCAGTTGCATCATGCTGTGGCCATGATGTGCCTTCCATGCAGACCTGATAATGTGGTTACCAGCAGAAACCTGGAAGGTTACAGGATAGTCTAAGGAAGTGGCCCAGAGAGGCCATGTGTCATGGTTCACTTGGAGTCGTTTCCTCCTGGTAATTCGTAATGCAGGTGTTGGTTAACAGGGTCCTACATAAGAAACACTGATAGGATTAAAGTTAATCCACTGTCCTGTTGTCTTTGTTGCAGTTCGGTCCGGAGGAAATCTGCACTGTGGTAAATCCTGGGATTTCAAAGTGCTGACAAGGTAACAGAGCTTCTCTTGTGTGCCCCTCTCTCCTCCCCTGTCCCACAGCTAAATGTTTCTCCCTCTTGTAACTGTATCTTGATGGCAGCGGGGAGGGTTTTTCAGAAAACTGGATTAGCATGTTTTGAGGTTCCTGAATTACCCTCCGCCTCTGTATCTCTCTGTTTGTGACTACACATCTACCTGATTGTGAGCAGATGTCATACTGTGTGTGTTGGCCATTTATCTATTTATCTGCCCGCGTCACTGTTAAAAATGACAGTGTACTGTTGTTGTTTTGCCAACATGGCTCTGACCTGACTTTGTCCATTATTTCCCTTAGGCTACATTAAAAGCCCGCACCAACACAAAGGCTTTCTTGGTTCTTTATAAGAAATCTCTCATCATATTTGTCATCATTGTCACCTCATTGTCATCAGCAATCTTCTAAAAGATCTAACCAAAAGATACTGAAATGCATTTTGCTGAATGTCCCAAAAGCAATTTCTATTTGTCTACTACATTGTAAATGCGCTGCACATACATGCAGTATATCTAAAGTAAAATAAATCAAATTAAATAAATACAAGAGGGGAAACTTCAGTTATGTTATCTAATATGAAGTAACTGCCACATTTTATTCAGAGCAGGTATTGTTTTATTGAAAAAACTCATTACAGCCCCTAATTAAATTGTTTGTATTTTTGTCTCATCTTCCTAATTAATTCAATAAGGGCTTATGTTATTCAATAGCATTTGCATTTGAGATAATTACACAATATACCTGTCACTGCCAGAGGGGGGCAGTCATATCACTGAGGAATTGCATACTGATTTAAAGATTGCATTTTATTAAAAAGGACTTATAAACCAAAACACGCCTATAAAGAAAATTCTTGCCAAAGTTTGAGGTAACTTTTGAAAACAACCTCACTCTGATGTCTCCATGCTGCAGTCACCTACCGTAAGCCTGGAGATAGAGAGTAGCTGAATCTGGAATGGTTTTTACAGCATCATCATTTACCTTCAGGACTTCAAGCAATTTCAGGGGTTGTGATACCTTTTAAATGCCTATTAGCGGGAACCACAGGACAGGTACGTTTGAACAGCAGACATGACAGACGGGCAAAACTGATGTATTTATATAGGGACACAGACACTATGTGCGACAAGCACTGGTGTTGTCTAGCAGATAGCGTGATGCATCCAACCCATATGAGTAAAGCTTACTAACCCCTCGTCAGTATTAGAACATGAGTCAGTGTGAGGAAGCGGCACACTCTTTCATGAGGACAGTTTGCTTCCTCTGGCAAACAGGGTAACAGGAACAGCCAATGAAGGCGGTTCCCTGACTAAGGATAATCAGCATTAGGCTGGTAGGTGGGTGAAGTCGAACACAGCCTAATTTTTTTGCCAACAAGGTGTCGCTGACCTCATTCACACATACACAACAGCAGCACGACTCACACCTGACGAGCAGCCAGCATTCTCCAGTACTGCGTACAAAGACAAAACCTCTGGCGTTATCTACTTTCCGTAAGCTCAAACATACCCGTGTCGTCTGCATTATTCAGAAGTGTTTGGTGAGAGCTTTGCATGACAAATCAGTGTCAAAGCTTGCGGCAGTGACTCACAAGATTTAATGAGAACAAAAACGTTCACAACTTTTCATAGGTATTGATGTCATGCTTTTAAATATAGCCTTGTGTGAACATGTGAATGTAAGTGAACGTATTGCACAGGGAGTCCAACATGGACAAAAAGAGAGGAAATTATTCACAGCTATCAGAAAAAAGTCCTTGATTGAAGAGACGTCTGACCTCACTGGACAGAGTCACAGTGATTAGCATCATCACAGACCAGACACATGAGCTCTGAATTGCTAATCGACCCTGTACAAGATTCTGCCTGAGGCTTTAACCATTTCAAATTACTCCTGATGCCATCTGGAAGAAATAAAAATTCTCATAGAGCATTTCTAGAAGTACTATGAAGACATAGATCTGGGGTATATAACCTAAAATCATCATCATCAAAATCACATGTTAATTTTAGATCTGATGAGTAAAAAATAGTCAATTTTAATTAGAGCTCCATGAAAAGACCATGTTTTAAATATGCTCAATTAAAGCATTACCATTTAAGCATGTTATGCTGTAAGTTGCTTTATTTTTAATGAAAATGAACATGACAGGAGTGGGTGTTTCAAAGGGGGCCGCGCTCATTAGAGCATTTAGAGAGGGCTTTAACTAAACATACCAAGATAAGGAAAAGTGAAGGTACATTTTGTCCTGTCCCTACTAGGGCCCTTACTTTTCTAATCATTTAACTGCTTTCAGATATTCAGACACAGATATACAGCAATGTTGAGCTACATGGCTTACTGGAGACAGTCAGGTAGTTAGCTGTTATATATATAGTGGCTTATACCATAATATATACAGTTCATACAAAGCATGTACAGTAAAAAGCTGTAAAAATAATTTTAAAAAAAACTCCCTATTTACTAGTACACTGAATTTACAGTCTGACATTTTTATTTGAGAGTCCAAATTCTGAGTCAAATGTTTCCAAATGGAACAAAAATAGTATCCACGGCATGTAAACTATTTTTTGCTTACAATCCCACAATGCAATGCACCACATCTCTACAGCTGGTAGTGATGATGCAAAATGATAATTAGTAACTGTCTGAAATCTGAACCTATTGCTCAGTATTGATCGTCTGTTAGTGAACATGGGAGTGATATTGGAC